GTTGAAGTTTTGTATTTGTGAATTTTCTTGATCATGTGGGAGTCTTGAAAAAATGTTTACCAATTTTTGGCACATTGAGCTCTGAACAGGTCAACTTGAAATCAGCCATGCAGATATAAGCAGAAATATGACATTATTATTTATAGACCAAATCAGAAAGCATTGTTTCATACTGAACTCTGGAGCTGATTTTAATGGGTTCAGCACAAACTGAGAATACATAGCTGGGATCCTCTTTTAACAGGTTTAAAGAGAATGTAGAAATACAATTCTACAAACTCGAAGCAGTCTTTTTTTCAGTTGTATTCAATATCTCTCCTGGACTAGAAACACCACTGAAATGGTCAAGAAGCAATGATTATTTACTAATTCTCAGAAAAAAATAAACTACAAAGGATGACCATTTACTGCTACTCTATAAAGAGTGTGCTGGCATCCTGTATCACTGTTTCGTGATATGCCAGCTGTGCTTGGCAGCGGACAAGAAAGCCCTTTAAATAGTTACAGAGGTTGCCCAGAAAATAATCAGCTGCTTGTTGCCCTCGTTTCTAATTCTCAGCCGCAGAGAAAGCAGGACATGCCCTTGTCTGAGAGGGAATCCAGTACAATTGTTGGATAAAACAGAGACTACAAACTCATATCTCCCAGAGGCTTGAGAATTTCTTCAACAGAATTACTAATAAAGAAGACCAGAGAAGGATCCAAAATGACCTGGATAAATCCTTCAGACATGAATTTGATGTAGTCAAGGCTCACCAAGTACAAAAATTAAATAGATTGAAAGATCAGAAGGTGACACACAAGGTCCATCACCCACCAGTGAAAGAAGTAGTCAACATCAGCCAATATCAGCTGAGTGCCTCTGAGGAGTCAGTATTAAATAAGGGTCTCAACTTCGCCATAACCATCAGGCAATACTTGGACATCATTGCCAGAATCGAGGAGGTGGCCTTGAACATCCCTCATGCTCAGGCGGATGAACTGAGATGGAAGGTGAGACAGATCTTGGAGAAGGCCAAGCTGCCCAGGTCTAACATAACAAAACTGGAGAGGCTGGCGATTGGATCTCTACAGAGGAATGAAAGCATCATCATACTACCGGCTGACAAACGCAATGCAACTGTAGCGCAATGTTACACTAAGCTACCTCACATCTCCCGAAAGATTCACAAAGACGGTATTCCACTCAGGCTGATTGTTAGTTGCCAAGGCTCTGCGTGCCACCCTCTGAGTCGCTTCCTTGTAGATATAATTGACCCATTGATCGGAAAGTCTCCTTCATATGTCTGAAACTCCGCCCACTTCATGGAAATAATCAAAGATGCTCCCATCCTATCCAACCAGATGGTGAGCTTGGACGTGGTGAGTTTGTTCACCAAGGTACCCACGGAGGAGGCACTCTCAGTGGTCAGAGACAGATTGGCCTCTGATTCATCCCTAGAAGAACGGACCAGTATTCCAATAGATAATCTGATGGAGATGTTGACTTTCTGTATACAAACAACACACTTCAGAATGGGATCACACATATATTGACAGGATGAGGGCTTATCAATGGGCTCGCCATCATCACCAGCAATGGCAAATATATACATGGAATACTTTGAGGAAATGGCATTAGAATCTATATCTCTAAAGCCAACTATATTATTAAGGTACGTAGATGACACCTTCATACTCTGGCCACACCAGGAAGATGTTCAGATTCTACTGGACCACGTGAACTCAATAAGACCTTCAATACAGTTCACAATGGAGAAAGAAAGTAACAACACACTCCCATTCCTGGATGTTCTAATATCTCGAACAGAGCATGGGTTCAAGACATCTGTATACTGTAAACTGACATTCACTGGACAGTACCTCAATTTCAACTCCCACCACCCATACAGCATAAAGAAAGGGATCGTCCGCTGCTTACAACACTGAGCAAAAGTCATAAGTGGCGACCCAGAGACATTAGATAAAGAATTGGTCAGTATAAGTAGTACCCTACAATGTAACAACTACCCTGGGTACATGGCAGCAGCCCCCAAAAACTGGGATAGGCAGGTACAAGAGGAGGGCAACAACACTCAGAAAACAGTCTGCCTGCTTTATGTGAAGGGGTTATCAGAGAAAATACAAAGGATCTGCAATTCATATAACATCAGAAAGCTTGACGACACTTCGCAGATATCTCTCCCGAGTAAGACTCCTTTATAGAGGAGAACATGACTAAAGACTGTGTACGCTATCCCGTGCAGCTGTGGAAAGAAATATAAAGGAGAGACAGGCCACTCCCCTAAGGTAAGGCTTCAAGAAGACCAGAAAGCTGTAACATGAGGGGAAGTGGAAAAATCAGGCATGGCTGACCACATATGGAGAGAGAAGCGAGATCACCACCCTCTGTGGGATCAGGGGGAGATCATAGAAAAGGAACACCATTGGAAAATTCGTAAACTTAAAGAATCAGCACATATGCTAAGCCACAAAAATCTCCTGAGCCGACCAAGCATAGAAATGAATACAATATGGGAACCAGCAATAAGGAGTGCCAGAGAAAAGCAATAATAACAACGAAAGTTGCAATATGAGCTCTGATAAAAAAACATGCAATGAGAACAGCAAAAAATTGCAATATGAGCACTGGTAAAAATGGTTGCTGAGATTAGGTTTATAATACCCAGAAATTCATACACAGATGTCCTCAATGGCACAGTGGATAAAGGCATTGGTTAGATCCAGTGACAAAGAGTGTGAGTTCAATACCTGGTTAAGGCAGTGGAGAACTTACAGAGGGAAATTAACAGGAGATAACTGATAACTGCCATCCATTAAACATGGCACCCCAGTGAGTGAAATAAAGGGTTAAGTTTGACGTTCCAACCACCTGAAGAAGGTGCACAACAGCCGAAAAGTTGGTGAAAATATGGCGACAGAGATGAGGACAATAGTCTGAATAATGTAAATATTGTTTCTAATTCTTGTTGTTGCAGAAAATGTAATGGAAGATAGAACCACTTGTTTGAACTGTTACTCTCATTAGAGTTCTAAGACAAAGTGCTTGAGGGTTAGTTTTTATCCTTGGACCCCGTATAAAATGAATATTGCAAACTGACAATTTTCAACATATTTTAAAATTTATTACTTTTTTCTTTATTCAATGCTGTGCATGTATTTGTTTTTATTTGTGTTGTGTGCATAGTTTTTGTGTGAGTGTAACAAAGAAGAATGGCAGTGATTGGTGCATGTTTAAAGAAGCTAGTAGTGGAAGTAGCCAACAATTATTTGTTGACATCCAGAAGAGGAATGAGGAGGACATTATTTGAAAGGCAGATGACAAAAAAAAAACAGTTGCTCATTTGGCTTGTAGGCTTTCTGGAGTGGCAACTGTTTGGTGAAACTGCAATAATTCTTCATTTTCAACAGTGTGTATGTTGGTACACCTGTAGACTGCCATCCAATTTCATAGTGCATTACACAATGACAAAAAGAAGAATAAATATATTTACCTGTCTAAATTTCTGAGATGAAATATTCTAATTATTTACACTATTTACATTGTTCAGACTGTTGTCATCATCATTACTATATTTGGAAGAAGTATGGCATGTAGAACTAGAACAATCTACTCCAGTGGACAAAATAAAGGGTTCAGTTTGAAATTTCAATCACCTGAAGAAGGCCAGTATGTACAATGGTCGCAACGTCATTAATATTGCAATGAAGATGAGGACAATAGTCTGAACAATGTAAATAGTGTAAATAAATATATTTACAACTGAACCTTTCAGATTTTTCTTTATTTCCCTTTTTTATTACATTCTTTTAGTTTCACATAAAAATTGCAATAAATATTTAAAGTTTAATATAAAACATTTTCCCTCTAACATTCTTCACACTTTGTATTTAGCTTAATAAAGAATTTTTCAAATCTATTTTTATGCATAGGTAATGCATAGGTTTATCAGTAGGAAAAGAGGTAATTGGATAGCTGAGTTCAAATTTTGGACACAACAAGCAAAGACAGAATTTGAACTTGGCTTTTACAATAATGCTCTTGGAAAAATTTATTAATTTCATCTCTTCTTCCACCACCTTTTTATTAAATAGTGGGGTAGACTAAGCCACAAGTTCTCTTGCCGTGGATGGCAGCCAATCTAGGAAAAGAACAACTTTGAATTAAAAAATATGAAGAATGCACTATCTTTTCCAAAAAGTCAAGATAATTCACAGATAATAAAGAAGACTGACATCCATGATCGCCTGCATCCTCAAGAGACATGATTAAAAAAATATATGTATTTATCTAAAAAAACTAATTCTGTCAACAATGTGTTTTGACTATTTAAGTTCAACCTATGTTTTTGAAACTGGATAATTAGTATTCAATTTAGATATAAAAATAAACTTACATCCTGCGTTCTAATTTTTTTAATATAACCATGTAGTTGTAGTAAATTACATCCTTAAATTTGGCAAGAGAGAACTAACACTTTTTGAGACAGTTTGGAAATATGTTCTTACAAATGTAATTATTTTTTTTAATTTTTATTTATTTTGCTTTTTATTTTTTTATTGAATGGTAACATTTTATTAACCGGACGGAAGCTAGGTCAGTCTAGCTATATTATCATAATTTAGCCACATTTTGCTGTTTAAGAATTTAGACTCCCCGGTACTATACTGCAGTTGCACGGAAAATGATGGGGAGATCACTGTGTCATTAATGTGGAGTTACTGTTCTTGGCTGCACTGCTGCTAAGACGTGAAAAGAACAAAGCATTTTGGGGGTCGCACGCGTTTTGCTAAAAATCTGGTCCTCGACAATAACAAAAACAAACAAAAAATAAAAATAAAGACGAGCCACCCAGCCGGGAACAGGGCCACCCAGTGACGAACAAGGGCCACAAGACATCCGCAGCTCAATTATTAACTACTGCTCAATTTATTAAAACACAATTTCTTTTTAAATGCGGCCTTAACTAACTCGAAAGGTTTGAACCCCCATCACAAATATGGCGTCCACCAATGGCGACACGACCAACTCGGCGCCGACTTCTTCTTCTTCCTCGACTTGTTTGTCGTCGAATTCCTCATCTATATCGTCCCTAGCCGTTTCCCAGGCCCCAGCTCCCGAACCTAGTGTTCTGACTAATTCGTCCGTGGTGGCCAGTGAGCCTTCATGCCTGGCGAGTTCGGCCGGTAGTCGTCAAGGCTGCCAGCCGACGGCTACGGGAGAGATGAGTCGAACTAACAATTTACAGAGGATTGCCCAGAAAAAGACACAAGTCCGAAATTACCCGAGACCAAAGAAGCTGGAGAAACTGGCAGTGTATTCCTCTTGCAAGGTAAAAACCATTGCTTGGCTTTGAAATATTGGTTTTTGTGTTGGTAAATATACAATCATCTACAAGTTGCTTGTGTTAAGAAAACGTTTTTAACCACCATCACTTCTGTGAAATCTCTCATCTATTCCTTAATTGCAGATATTTTTTTAAAACTTTCTAATAATAATTAAAAACGAAATAGAGCAATGATAAACTAAAAATAATATAATTTTTTATTATTTATTAAAATATTAATTTATTATTAATAATCAAACAATAACCTCGTTTGATATTTTTTTCGAGAAAGTTTAAACTTTAAAAGTTAACGATATTAATTTAAATTTTTTAAATTTATTTTTTAATGATATTTATTTTTTTTTTAATTATTTCTAACGATACTACATAATGTTTTTTAAATTATTTTTAATTATTTTTTTTTTTTTTTTTTTTTGCGAGTTCTAATTTGTCAATCACAATTGAATATATACCTATGATTTTGTTTTTGTTTGTCAAAATAAAATCTATTTTTTTTAAAGATGTCTGAGTTGATCTATCAACAATTTGTACTTTTTAAAATTTAAATTCAGACTGAATCGGCCACTTTAAAATACTATTATTTTATAAATTTTTTTAAAAATTTTAATTGTTGATATATCTCAACACTTTTTTTCTGAATTTGTCAACCACGTTTTTTAAAATTGTCATTAGTTTTTAAATTGGCCTTCAAATTAACGTGTTATCAAAATAACACTAATTTCCCTTTAAGTGTTAAGATTTTATTCTGAAAATCTTGTAATCCATAATAATTAATAATAATAATATAATGGTCAACCACGTGTATATTTTGCCGTATTTCATTTAAAACATTTTACAACTGGAGTTTAACTTCCGGTTAATATGTTTTTAGCTAGACTCATACTTAAATTCGAGTTTAAAATTCAGATGTTTATTACTATTATTCAATTGTCACTTAACATTGCAATTTCGTTTATTGTTTACTGATTAAAAAAGCAAAACGGTCCTTAAACATGAATTATGGATGGTAAGAAATATAAATTATGTTTGAGCAACAATGTTATTGTTACATCATTTTATTTCTAGGAAGTGTGTTAAAAAAAAAAAAAAAAAAAAAAAAATATTTTTAAACTAAACTAAAGGAAGCAGAAAAGGTCGTACAGATTTCATGAGGATATTAAAAGTAAAACAAAACAATTCTTTATTGACAAAAATATATTAAATATAAATTGTAAACTAAGATGATTTTAAAATAGGATTCATCTTGTGTGTAAGTTTGCAGGAGACATATATTTCTTTGAGATAATTGATGCAACAATAAAAGGTCCTTCAATTGGAAGGCGATGAACAAATAAACATTTTTTTCCGAGAAACATAATTTTTCTCATTTACTTTTTAGACATTCAAAATTAATAATTTTTTAAAATCCTTTAAAAATCAAATATTAATATTTCTATGATACTATGTGTTCATGAATGCCATATTTTTTTTTTCAGTGTTTTTTTTTTTTTTTTCATAATGAAATTAATCGAAATTGTAGAAATTGTCCTCCTTGAACAATTTTCATAGAAAATAAATATTTACAATTCCAGTAGTAGTTGTTTGATTGATTGAAATCACATCATGGTTAGTTTCAATTCCATTCTTTTATACTATTTTTCACCTAATACAAGACTTAAAGACTCACTCAAGAGGGTTATTGAATAAAGTTGTTGTATTGGTGTAAAAAGATATGGCAACAAGTGCATACTATGAGGATATGTAGGATAGATAATGTTTGACCCTAAACTTGAAGAGGTTAAGACCATAGTAATCAAGAGTCTGTTTCACAAAGTAACAGTATTAGGGGAAATCTGAGTGGAACCTCCTCTTTATCAAAGTAATTAATATGTTGAGAATGAGGATGATTTGTCCCACTGTACATAGAATGGTGAGTCCTAGCTGTAACTTCTCCAGACACCATAACTCAGGACTCTAGGTGCGACATTGGGGATCTGTGGACAGCAATACAGGACCAAACAGTGTGGAAAGGGATTGTCAGTGGGGTTCCTACCAACCACAGGGAGGTTGAAGAATGATAATGAGCTGTGATGGTCTGAACTGATGGAACTAAGGATTTATTTAATCTATGGGGAAAGATTGTCTGAACATATGAAAATAGTGATAATATAGTGAGAAGCTAGCAATGTTTCATCTTCTGGAAAATAATTCATCACCTGCAATAGCGTGTTGAAGCTTTTGAACTTCATGGTTAGATAGTGAGGATTGGGCAGCTTTAGCCCAGACATGGCATCAATGCTTCATAAGTCTCCATTCTTTTTGTTTTATTATTACAGTATTTTTGAACACTCTTCTTTACAGCCTTCTTCAGAAGTGTAATTCATGAGGAAAGAGTAGGATCTTTTCCCACTTCAGAAAATCTTTACAGATAAAAAACAAACCATGATTTAGGATGACTCTTATTATAGGGAATGGGCTGAACTTGTCACTATATTAGCCAGCATTTCTTCTCTGTTTGACATCTATTTCTATCAAAGAAAAATAACCCATCTCTTTGTTATCTATTGTATAAACAAATTTTAAAATGGATCAGCCAGAATATAACAAAAACAATGCGTACAATGAATGCATTAGTCCAAATAACTCTTTTAGTGATAATAGCTCATCTGAAAATCATAGATAGCAAATATTTATAAAATACTTCTAGAAATGAAAATAGAAAGAAAGTTCACTTTACTTTCTGGAAGTTAAGATAGTTTTCTGGTGTACTATATTTTAATTTCAGTAAAACCTTGCTTATTTACATGTGGATTATTGTCCTCATCTTTGTTGTCATTATCGCAATGTTTTGGTTGTTGTGTCCTCAGGCTTTTGTCTGGTGCTTGTTGATCCAGGTAACCGTCACAGAATTTATTTAATCTAAAGGGAAAGATTGTTCTCATTCTGCTGTCCGTGTCTAGGGATATCCTGTTCTTTATTTAGTACTACTCAATTATTGCTTGCTTACTTTCTACTGAGTCTGTTTGCACCCAGGGATTGAACTTGAAATTACTATCCACTAGTTCCATAATGTAATGTAAATGGTAACTTTTCATCCTAGAAATTAATAAAACCTTGCTGTGTATTTATTGGACAAGAAAATTATTCATTTGGCAAATGCTTCATAAATTCCTTTTTTGCAACATTTAAATATTTAGGAAAATGATTTCTGTTACAGTCATGTTCAAAGTATTGTGGAAAATTTTAATTTAATAGTAGCATTTCCATTAATTTCATGGTAGATATAGGGACATTGCTAAATCTGCAGCCTAACAATGAAAAAAAAATGTATGTAACAAATACTGATATAAAAAAAAAAACAAAAATCTTTTTTTAACCATATTTTCATTCCTTGTTAATGCACTTAATTCATTGGTAGGGATATTAATCCCATAAATTTAACATATAATGAAGATTTTAAATCAGAATTCTGTTAATTCTCATGTTATGGACTTAGTGATCCACCCTCATAAATTTTAAGTTTTGTGTAAGACAACAGTAATAAATTCCCAGTGATCATAAGTTATAATAAATTGATCCATGATTTGAATTTGTTAAAGGTTAGTGTTATGCTAGGTGAGGTTTTCTCATGTTTGTATATTAACCCCTTGGGACTGGGATATTTTTGCATGATGTCATATTAGTTAAAAATTTCATCACCCACTCCAGGGCAATCATTGATTTCACAAATTCAAGGAGAGACAACAAATCCATTTGGAATGCCACAAATTATACTAATGTTTGTTTAACAAGTCAAATGCACATGAAATACGATTTAACCAATGAAAATCAAACACTACAAAAGTGAAGATATCAGAATTTCTTTCTTCTTTTTCTCCATATCTCATTCTCTGAAGCTTTAATAAAAGTGAAACATATTAGATTGATAAACATTTCTTATTTGTTCTTTATCTTCTCATTCTGTCAGATTACAATCCATATTTGATCCTAAGTCTCATATATATGAGAGGGACAGACAGACAGACATGTCTTTTATAATGACAGACTAATTGTTTCTGAGTGTGCCTGTCTGCTAGGGTAGCTAGCTAATCCTAATCCCTGTTGCAGACTCCTGCACAAACACATTTGTATTTCTTCCGCAGCCACATAGCCAGCCTGTGATTTATACTGCACTGAGTCAATTTTAGTTACATTTTCTCATAAAGTGTGCATAATCTGGCATAATCAATTGTTGAAGAAGACCAGCATGCTTAAATTCTCAATCATGCTGATTTGTGACTTTATGCTAACACAGCCATTGATGGCTTCCAAACATTTACCCACTTTCTCTCAGAAAGCTTAGGTCAACTCATGGTATGGTTTGCAGGCATGTCTTGACAATTCTTGCACACTGGGTTGTCACCCCTGGCTGATATTATCAAGAGGTCACCTCCTTGATAAATTGGCCATGGTGAAATACAAAACTGAGGCTTGTGGTCAAAACACTAACATTCTAACCACATGGCCACACACCTTATGCCTTACATAACCTGGCAAATAATTAATAAAAATAAGGGTGCTTAAATGTTTTCAGCCTTACCCATTTCCCAAAAGCTGGCAAAATCACTAAACATATTTTTAAGAAATTTTAAGCACCCCAGTGTGTATTTTTTTCTTTTCATTAAATGACCATTTATATTTTGTTTTATATTGCCATTTGCTATTTGAATAAATAAATTGATTTAAAAAAGAAAACAAAAACCTATGCAAATATTGTAGTGTATCCAATGCACTGGTGTTATCATTAGGAAGCAGTCAACCAAATGGGGGCTCAGATGAATTGTGAGTTGTTGTGTCCGACCCTCGAGGCCCTTGTAAACCCTGTGTTTTATTGGCTGGTAAATTTAGTGAGTGAAAGTTAGATTAAACTCATTACTTTTTTCTACTACAGCCAGTGATTTTTCTTTCCATTGTAGTTTGTTTGCTTAATGGCATATAAAATTTTTATGGATTAATTGATGCCATAATTTAATTTTCTTGGGAGTTTGAGTATTTTTTTATTTTTGTATAAATCAGTTGCTAGAAATTTAATTTTTTTTTTTTTTTTTTAATTTTTTTATGTATTTTTATACTGTCAGTTTTTGGGCACTCAGTTTGGGTGGGGGTTCACTATTTGCCTATAGCACCTAACAGGTACTACTGTCAGGGCAAACCTGGGAGCAACAGCATTTAAGAGGTGGTTCCACACTCCTCAAACCCTCCCAATCAGAGGCCTTGCTGTCAGATATAGTTTATTTGTCATACTTAGGACAGATTTCCATTATAATTGATCTTGTAATATGTTAGATGCAGTTCCAGTAGGATTTAGGGTTCACAAGCAGTTCCCAACCGCATGTATACACACTTAGGATAGTGCAATCCAGTCTGAATTTGTGATTTCCTTCTCCTAGGCTGATTGCCACCCAAGGCTATAGGACCCAGTCTGTCCTGCTATTTTTTTTTTATCACTAGCTTGGGGGGTGTGAAGAAGATAGATTCATACCTTTCCCAAGGGTATTAGCACGTCAGTAATGATCTCAAATGGAATTTGAACTCGACTCTCCATTTCCTCAATCTGAGCCACTAACCATTACTCCACAGTGCTTCCATTTAAGTTTATTTAGTATTTTTTTAAACCATGTCTCTTCAGGATGTAGGTGATCATGGTTCTCCACAAATTCCTTTCCTTTATCTGTGAATTACCATGTCTTCTTGGAAAAATAGTGCAGTGGTTTCCTATTGCCCATTCTACAGTTTGGAATTAGAGACTGGTTGCCACCAAATGCTAGAGAGCCCAGTCTACCCTGTTATTTAATCCATAGCTGAGGGAAAGAAGAGCTTCCCTAGCAATGTTCTGTTGACTTTTCATGTCAAATAAGTGAAACTATTTTACCCCTCTGAACAAAAAATGACAGAACTATTTAAGTAAGTTTTCAATTGTGTTGGTCATATATTCTCAGTTATTTACACATTTAATTCTATTATTACTAAAATAATTTTCTTTAAATTATTAAAAGTAAAAATATATTCAAAGAAAGCCAACATGAGACAAAAGAAATAAAAAAAAAAACAATGTATTTGCAGTCTGATCTCCCCTACTTATTAATGAGATATTTTGTATTAACACAAGATGTTTTTCTGATCTTCCTGACTTAAGCACCGGTTCCCGTATGATCACTGAAGTTAAGCAACATCAAGCCTGGTCAGTACTTAGATGGGTGGCTGCTTGGGAATACTGCGTGCTGTAATCTTTGATGTCTGGATAATGGCTTAGTATTGTTAATCAGAGAGCCAAGTTTCAGTTGGGTTCATTATGTTCACTTATGCACTATGCACAAATACCTTTGGGAAATGTATGAATCCACCTCTTCTCCCCCCAGCTATGGATTAAGTGGTAAGACTTGTATCATTAAATCATTATCTCAAAAAAAATTCTTACAGTTTGAAAAAAAATTTGATGGCTTTAAATAACCTGTAAAGAGTTTATAAACCATTAAAAATGAGTCAGTTTGCTTCTTAATGAGATATTCTGTATTAAATCAAGGCATATTTGTTTATTAGCTTCTATTACTTAAAAAATTCATTTTAAATATGAGAATTAAAAATGCATGACAGGTGAATATATTGTCAGTTTTGTGTTTATATTGTAGAGTATATAATATTGGCATCAGAAGTTTTGAGAAGTAATCATGTCATTATACTATGACTTATTGGACTCATATCATGATCTATTGTTTGGATCACAATATTCATGCTAGTGTGTTCTTGAGCTTTCCTTAAATGCAATATTAAACATTTAACACTATTTCAGTTCACATATCTGAACAATAAAACCTGGTTCTACAAATTGAAATTTCTTATTACTTGCATTTATTTGTGTGTGTGTGTGTGTATATATATATATATATATATATATATATATATATATATATATATATATATATATATATGATGAGAGAGAGAGGTGAGAAAATGTATGACAATGTAGAAAGTTTTCTTGTGACATGTTTTGTCCTATAGGACATCATTGAACTAAATTTGTCATGCTGGTGCCATTACACATGAACAAGGGAATATTAAATGCTGAGAATTTTATTTCTTTTTTTTTTATCACAGTGTGGATATCTCCTAACAAAAGTGATGGAAAGAAAAAGAATCTAAATGAAATTGGCTAGATTATAATAAAAAAAAAGAAAGTAAAATTTAAAATTCCCAGCATCCCTCATTCGTGTACATGTGTAGTTCTACCAATATAACAAATATAGTTTGATAAAGTCCTAAACGATGAAATAATTCACAAAACTTTTTCCACTTTGTCATATTTTTCCCCAATATTGTTCTTGATATATAAAAAATATATATTTTGAATTCAGAGTTTTCCATCTTTTAGATTGGTTGCCATGCAAGACAAGAGTGCTCTGCTATTTAACCAATAGCTGGTAGAAGATGAATTCATTATTCTTTTTTTTTTTTTTTTTTTCAAGAGCATAAGCATAAACTGAAGGAAACAAATTCAACCAGAATGAAAAAAAGAATGTGTGTTGTGTGTGTGAACAAAAATGTATATACATGTGTCTGAAAATTACTCTCCTTCACTTGCAGAAATGGGCTATGTGTGATGTAATAAGTAAAGAGGTAGTATGACTGTGGAAGCAATGGTATATGGCTAGGATTTAATGATTTTCTAATAGATACTTGATATTTCGTGCCTGATATGTTGCCAAAAGTGAGTCATGATCAATTTAACATATGAAATGAGTAGGTTTTAAATGTCTTCCAGAGAACAATTTCCTTACATTTTGTAGATTTAAATTGTTTTAATATTTGGGAACTTACACTAAAAAATGAAGAAATTTATCACAGACATTTTTGTCAGCCTTATTTGAAGTTGAGAGTAGGTGAGGAAAAGGCATGTAAAATATTGGAGAAAAATTGACTTACAAAGATGGCTAACTAATTTTGTGTTGTTGGGCCCCAAAATCCACTTGATATTGGTCATTTTTTGAAAAAGTATCAAGTTAAGCCATGACTTATAGACTTATAGCATTTATTTTAACAAAATTCCAATGAATTTCACAATGAGGAAAAATGTATAAATTCACTTGCATCATATGTTTAGGCTTTATTACAATTCTAATCATCGCTTTTTAAAACAATAAACATTGCTGTGGATGGAAATTAGTTAAAGTAATAGCAGTGTCAATGGAAAAATTGTCTCTTTGGACACTCTGCATTTTTGTGGGCATGAAGGTGCAAGGTTGCTAGTTTGCCTATATGATGGTGAATGCTGGGCAGTCTCCTTACAGATAATGAAGAGACTTGAGGAAACAGAAATGTGGTTCTTTCAAGAATCCCATGGACTGAACATGTATGACTAACTACAAAGTTTTAAGGCAAAAGAAAATGAAAAGGATATTTATACTTAGAATCAGAAAGAGATAGGTAAAATAGGACATATAATGAGGAAAGGCAGCTTGTAGAATATAACACACACAGGGCATAGAGAAAGAAAAAGAGCAGAGAGAACCAGTGAGTAACCTACCTAATGATCTTCAGTAAATGAATGTCAGAACAGGGAATGAGAGATAGTAAAAACAAAAAACATTGCTAACAGCTACAAAGTAAAGGTAGTTCTGGAGATCAATAATCGCCCATTTTCTGATTGGACATGGCACATATTAGATGCAACGTTAAAAGAATAGGCAAAATGAAGCATTCTTTGTGACATCTGGATGACATTGAGTAAATCTGTCATTGGCAACATTCTCTTTACTAGATTGATGTCAGGAGTTGAACTCTCTATTGAAGTAGTTTATCAGACTTGATTTTGTTTCTAGACTTAGGATAATCTATGCTATGTTGATCTTTGAAAATATCTAACAAGAACAATGTTATTAGCAACAAATGGATTTAATCATTTTGTGTGTCTCTTCCTCAACTAAAGAACAAAACAACTCGCTTTCTCCTTTTTAAGTTTGTTTGACATCATTCTCTCAATGGAATCTCAACTGAGCTCAATAGTTTTATTTTGTTAGAAAAGTGGTTCATCCACTTGGCATGATAGGAAAACTTACCACTAACTCTTTACAGTGATTTCTTATGTAAATTGAGAAGAGGACAAAATCTGTCAGGATCAGGCTGTATTTTATAATGTTAAATATGGCAAACTAAGAGATCAATAGATGCTACTGAAAAGCTACTTTTTATGTTGACAGTAAAATTATTGACTTTGCTGCTTCCAGAAACAGCTTTAATTTGCTATCATGTTCTTATTGACTGTGGCCAAATATTGTAACATTATCTAATATTGCAAATTAATCCAGTAAATTATATTTAGAAATTAACTTATCAATTTTTTATTTTTTTTTATTGAAAACAAGATGAGATCTTAATGTCAAAAGGCATTCATTTGAATTGCCAGAGTCTGCCATCAGCCACAAAAATAATTTAAAGATGACCAGCCCCACACAGACTGACCTAACAGTTGATTTGTAAATATCAATGGAACAATATAATCTGTATTGGTCGATATCACTTACTATTTTGTTAATCTTTGGAAGAGGTTAGGTGTATTAATAGTTTCAGAATAGTCCACTACTGCATTGTTTAGCTTTATATTTTATAACAAGTACTTGAGCACACCAAGTAGCTTTGCTAGGTTCAATATTGTTTGACTCCACAAGGCACGAAACTTCACTTTTAATATATTTGTTACTATTTCTATGCTTTTGATATTTGATAACTGCTTTTGTAATTTGCATTAAGATGACCAAACAAAATGTGTTTTTCAGTTTTGAAAGCTGTTAGTGTTAACTATGGATGGTGACTTTCTCCTATCCATATTTTATGTTATATTTTTATGGATTTCCTTAAAATCACTTGAATTGCCAAAATCAAATTATATCTGTAATTAACTTTTCTAGAACTGTCTCAGACCTCTTGTTTTGAAAAATGGGAGAGATGTAGCAATGTCAAAGATCTCACTGACAGAAATCCTTCCAGTATCATTTCTTGAGGAAATAATCATTAAATTCAACAACTTTACAGGCTTATTACTGATAAAACTTTTATCAGTGCTGCCACCGTCAATCAAAGCTTGAACTGTATAAGTGTCATTAACGAGCACTTTTTGAGGTTGATGAAATAGACTTGGCACCAGCAACAAAGAATTTTGATCTAACAGTTGCTAGAAAAAAAAAAAATCATAATTTGTCTGATACAGAAGTAGCAGTGGATGTGATAGAATAGTAAATTTTTTTTTTTTTTTTTTATTGTCCAGTCTTTTTACACTTGCAACATTGAGTTTCTCTAGCTGAACAATGACTTCTTTGGTGACAATTATGACAACAGAACCAACATTTTATTCTTTTTAGGTTTAGCATCTGTCATCAAATTTGAATCTGGTGTCAATAATAACAAGAGATGATAATTGCTCTGATACTGGAGTTACAAAAGCACATGTTAAACTGTGCAGACAAATATTGATTGCAAATGCTATGATGCTGCATCAAGGGATCAAATTCACAAGCAGCATTAAAGTCTGTAATTTTATTCCTAAGCAGTCTTTGCTATATACTGTTGATGAAGGCAACATAAATTTACTCAGATTTCTCAGCTATGACATTGCTAAAGTTGCAATCTTTTGCTAGAGATTTTAATCTTTAGCATTCTGCATTATTAATATTACTCCCCCTTTCCACTGCATTCTTTGTCAAGGCCTCTCGATTGCAGTAACCTTATTGATAATTTCACTCAAAGGTGTTTCCTGTTGCCCTAGCAGGCTATGACAACACAACTATGAAATTCAAATTCAGGGATTGGTCATTTTCAATGGCTGGATAAACTTTTTGCACAGCAAATGAAGTCACATATATAGTGATAAAGATTAATTGAAGGAAAAACTAGTCAAATGTCTCTCAGGACCATTGCTAAAGTGTATTGAACAAATATTTAATTCTTTAACCTTCAGCACCCTACATTATTAATATTACATTGCTTTCTACTGCACTCTTTTTCAAGGCCTCTCAATTGCAGTATCCTTATTGTTAATTTCACTCAAAATTGTTTTGTTGCCATAGAAGGATATGACAACCCAACTATAAAATTCAAATGCATTATTGTTCAGATATCAGTCACTTTCAATGGCAGGAGAAACTTTTTGTACAGCAAATGAAGTCACATACAGTGTGATAAATATTCATGTGTATTACTTTCACACTCTAGAATTTCACCATTCTGCAGTGTAGTCATAGACATTTGGTCCACATAATTGACAAGGTTCTTGTTTGTCTTGGATTCTGCAGATGGTAATTTTTAAAAAAAAAATTTTTTTTTTTTAATTATTGAAAGTCATCTTGTATATTATTGTAGCCTTAGATAAATTTGCATCTGTATCAAAGCATTCAGGTCTCATGAACTTCTCCATGTCACTTGTCTAAGTTTCTTTGCTTGAGGAAACTTAGCACAGATCATTTTGGTACAAAGGTACTACAACACCGCTCGATCATCTACCATCTGCAACCATGTTTAAATGAGCACTGGTTTCTACTAAGAATTGTTGCTTAATCAACAACTGTGACACAAGGTTTTCATTCAAATTATTTCACCACTGTCTCTCATTGTATTTGATTTATTTTTCTATAGTTTAACTCTGTTAATATCAGATGATTGACTGCACCACAAAATATTTCTCTTTAATATTTAGCAAGTAGCAAATCAAATTTTCATGATTACCATATATACTCTTGCATAAGCTGACTTTGTGTATAGTGCAATCCCTGTTTTTTTTTTTTTTTTTTTTTTTTTTTCATGAATTTTAACCCCTCCAGAAAAAATTACCTGTGGATAGTGCAAATGGTCACTGAAAATGTATGATTTTTAACCCCTTTAAAAAAAATCACCTGTGTATAGTGCAGCCCACTATTTTTTTTTTTTTTTTTTTTTTTTTTGCATAAAAGCTGAAAATAAACACTCAAGGATATATGGTAGTCAAGTAACTTTCTAAATACCTGTCAGTCTAGTAACTACAAGCGGTTTCTGGTTTTAGTCATAATATTTGTGTAATTTATAAGCAGTTTAATTGAGGCGTGAAAGTATTCTATTATACTATGGAGTGATTTTTTTTTTTTTTTTTTTTTTTTTCTTCAATTTTGTGACATGCCTTTTAAATTGATTTAATTATAAAATAAGTAAAAGTAATTTCAAGTAGTTAATTCTGTAAATAACTTACCATTTACCAATACTTCTTTATTTTGCCCTTATGGCCATATGTGATAAACAAGAGACATTTTTGAATATTGGTCTTTTAATTTTGCAAAATAAAAAACTGCCATCTCAGTACCTAGATAGGTAACCGCTTTGGTATGTTACGTACTGTAAGCTTGGGTATGCAGGTGGTGTAATGGATAAGGGCTCGGAATTGTTAATCAGGGAGCCAAGTTCCAATTCCTAGTGGGTTTGTTATATTTACTTACACACAAATACCTTTGGGAAAAGTAAGAATCCACCTCTTCTCCCTCCCAGCTATGGGTTAATTAGTAAGACTTGTATCACTAGACCATTATTATTGCCAAAAAAAAAAATTCTTACAATCTAAAAAGATTTTCTGGATTTAAGTAACCTGCTGATAAGCTGTAGAGAACAAATCAACTGATAACAAAATAAAAACTTCTGGTTTTGTCATTTTTATCTATCTGAGAATAAAAAGAACAACCAAATGATAAATCTACAAGATTTTAAATGGAGTTTTTGAAAATCTCATTGTAATATATGTGCTAGTGCTGTGACAAAGTCCCACATTACTGACAATAGGTTAAAATGTTGGATAAATTTAAATTCACTCCTTGTTTTTGTTTTTTGTTTTTGTTTTTTTTAACAGATTGCAACATCTATCAGAGAGAAGAAATTTAAATTTTTATTATTGCATTATTCCAAAATTTTAACACACCAGCTGATAGCTATTAATGTCAACAACTGAGCACAAATAGTTACTAATTAAAAAAAATTAGTAAATGTATAATATTATCCATAACTACATGTATGGGAATGTCATTTTTGATAAAAGTTAAAAAATAACCATAAATATGTAAAAAATGCATATATTGTTGAAAATTCCTTTTCCACAATATAGCTATTTGTGCTTATTACCTAAGCAATAATAATACTGAATAAATTTTCTTTAAACATTGAAGTATATTTAATCACATCTCCCTAATAGCTGGTGCAATATGTTTTTTTTTTTTTTTTTTTTTTTTTGTATACTTTTCATATCGTATTTAATTTTATACAAACCTGTTCAGACATTTTCCCCATGTTCACTTTGTATTATTTAGGAAATGAAAATCCATATTTTAAAAAAATTAAGAATTTAGTGCTTTTTTGTTTTTTTTTTTTTTTTTTTTTTATTTTGTATAGTAGTAGTTGTGTATAGAATATAACTTAATTTTAAAAAAAGAACCTAATTTTATTCTTACTGATTGATATCTATGCTACTGCTACTTTTAGACTTGCTAAGTGTCAGTTTTTTATATGTTAGTCTAAAAATGGACATCTTAAATGAGGCTTGAACTTTAATCCTTTATTTTATTACTTAAACCCAAGCTTTCTTATTGGTATTAATATTAAAGAATCTCAAAGAATTCTTTTACCAAAACCAAAGGAAACGCATTCCCATGATTTTGGTGCAATTGTAAAAATTTTGAGTAATTTTTTTTTTTTTTTTTTGTTATTAGAATCACTCCAAGCAAGGCAGTAATGCCCCTAAAACACAAGAGGTTACAGGGTGTGGAATAATTGGGAACAGAAACATTAATGATGAAAAAAAGAGTAATCATGTGAACAGTAGATAGCAATTGACATTACATTTAAATTTAGGCAGATTAAAGTTGGCTGGAAAGTATGGAGCTGGAATAGAGTTCTAAAAGTGAGAACTGTGAGAAGAAACTGTTAGCATAGAATGTATGGCTACATCTAACTAGCTCAACTGTAAATTGATGAGATCTTGACGCCAGCCTAGTGCTGCACTTAAACTCAATAGGTTTACCTTTTGAAATGCAAACCTGGTTCCTGGAAGCAAATTGCTTAGATCAAATTGACAAACATTGATTTTTGAGACATTTTCTAGAATCCTCTTTAAGTGATGGATCATTTGTACATTTTTTACATAATTAAAATATTAATCACATATGATGTGGGTGCTGAAAAATTCTTGACCCAACCCATTTTTCAAAAACTGAACAAATGACTAGATATTTGATATTTTAAGGACTTTACCATATGGCCATTAACTTTTAGTGCATGCTTGATGTGTTAAAAGCTTATGCACATTGGATGAATTGTTTGCTTGTGTGCTTATAACAATGCATCAGTTGTGAATGTATTTAAGAACATCAATACATGCCTGTTTCACATGGCAAGTATATAATATAAATACAGAAAGGTAAACAAATTAATGGGTACTAAAGATCAAACAGATGACAATTAAAAACAGATAAAGATAAACTAGTGTTGCTTGGGGAAAAGGGAATGAGTTTCAATGATAATTTTTTACTGTTGAAGAAAATGTTTGTCATTAAATGAACCATAAGGTGTTGATATGCTGTTAAAGAAATCAATCAAACCAAGAAAATGTTGTAATTTGATGTTTTAGATTACGATTAATTGCTTGTTTTGTCTCTTTCAGACTGAGGGTTGCAACTGCAATGGTTGGAAGAACCCAAATCCCCCTCCAACTCCACCAAGAGTGGATGTCTCTCAACCCCTGGCCAGCCTCACTGACCCCTGCCGTAGCTGTAGTCATACCCTGGGTTAGTACTTTTAAGTTCTGTATAAAAATGAAGGGGTGTGTGTGTGTGTGTGTGTGTGTGTGTATATATATATATATATATATATATATATATATATATATATAGGCAAATTTTTTGTTCTTTGCCTATTTCACTTTATGATATTAAAGAGTTTTGTGGGTGTCTTTTTTTTTTTTTTTTTTTTTTGGTAGGCAAATTTCTTTTATTTTTCTTGTAACACTCTTTTGTAATTTATGTCTAAAACATTTTACTTACAAGGGCATTTTTGAAAAGGAACTGGTTTTAACAAGCGTCATTTATTGTACACTTTGGACTTTTGGTAATCGGCCTCCTATCCATAATACAAGTGCATCACCCTTCACACAAATTGAGAGCTCTTAGTTGTATCTTTTCAAGTTTTATTGCTTGTGTAATCTGTAGCATGTCGCTTACAAGCCTTAGAAAAAAACACTCTTAAATCTGAGAAAATGGCTTCCACATGAACTTACCCAATGTTCTTGAATTTTTTTTTACCCCTGATACTAAGTATAAATGTTCTTTTTGTTTTCATTTTTCTTAAAACTTACTCATTATTCACATGCTCAAACTATGGGTTTCTCAGCATGCTTCTTTCTGTAGAACCACATCTCTCTTGCCTCAAGTCCAGAGAAAATTGTCCAGCATTCACTGCCATATAGGCGGGCCAATATTACATCACTGTTCAGCACTCTTTTTCCTGTTTTTTAATACTTAGGTTTTTTATGCAGCATCTTTCACTATCCCAATGTGCCTTCAGATTTCAGTGTGACATTAATAAGGAAAGAGGGCTTGAAAAATGTGACACTCATAGGACGTATTAAAGGAGCGTGTAACCTACTTGATGAGCTTGTGTAAATAAACAATTGTCATATAGGAAGAAAATGAGTAACTACTGGCACCAAGGTTTGAGTGTGACACTCAATTTAAGAATGTTTTCTGCCAGGTGTATAAATAACGGTGTCAGGCTACTGAGTGCAGTAATTATTGAGTGGAACTATCTAGTTGAATTAGTGTGAATTATTGTGCATTGATGATTTAGGGTTTTGATTTAGGATTTACTAGATGTTAAACTGAGCTGTGTAACTAACAAAGGATTCATTGAAATGGTTAATTATCTTTGGTTGACTTTTACTTCTTAAGTATTGCAGTACTAATTAAATACCATTTTATCTTAACATTGAAGTCTTTAGTTATACTTAATCATTAACGGTCACCATATGTCACAAAAACAATAGAATGGGGATTTGGAAGGGCAGCAAAAAAAAAAAAAAAACTAACTTTACTAAGAGTAACAAAGGACAAGACGTGGGGAGCCATGATTGCTCACGTCCTGAAGGGACATGCTAAATGACGTTGTTAGTACTTAAATACTTGCCTTTGACTTTTTGAAAGACATTGAAAAAAATATCACCAATGATGTAAGATGGATTTATAATAGGAATAATCTAAATTAAAGAAAACCATGTTTCTATGCAGAACAGCCTTAAATATCTCATCCTGAATAGGGTTTTGTTGGTGATGGGGAATCTGTTTTTTGTTGGATTTAAAAGGAATTTGTGATAGGTATCCCAGACTAAAATTTTATTTCCAATATATCTAAATCCCTTTAGTACAACCATAGAGAACTTGACAAAACATAAAAAAATGGTATAAAAAAATTTCAACAGTGTGTCTTCTCCTGGTTATCTCCCTCTCATTTCCCCCTAGAAATAATTCTACCACGACTGCCCCACATATAATAAAGCATAATAAGAAAAGGAAATTGTCTTTCATTGATGTAGCATTAGGGTCTGAAGAACTGAAGTCAAAAATGACCTGGAATACAATAGAAAATTAAAGGGAGATCATTTTTGTATATGAACAGGGCTTTATTAAATTATTTAATGATTATACCAGTTAATTCGATTATTGTTTATTTGCAATAAGGAATACCTTTTTCTCCATAAATACATTAATGGAATTTTCATTTGAGTGATAATGTTATTTAATAATTTGGTTTTTATTCTAGGAATATTTAAAAACAAGTAAAAGAAAATGACAAAAAACAAACCTTGTCCCATCCAAAATACATGCATAAATAAAAATGTCTTCATTATTAAATTATATTATTAATCTTATTTATTTAATATTTATATTTTGTTTTATTTATATTTTATTTTCATTGACCATTGTGACAAAAGGACAATTAATTTCTTGGCTTCGAATGATTTCAACATTAAAAAATCCACTTAAAGAAACCAAATGATTTCTTGTTAATCATTCATTGTCATTAATAAATAAGCAACAATCAAATTAACAGACCTAAAGGATGTATAATTTTAAGAAAAAAATAGCACCTTTCCAATATAAAAGTTACTTTCTTTAATTTTCAATGTTTTGATTTTTTTTTCAGTAAAGTGAACCATTTGATGAACTGTTTACAGAAAAATTAAATTTTCTGCTATGAAATGAACCCATTCTCCTAACTTGTCCCCTTCAATTTATCCCTTTGCTTCAAACCACATCCAGGATAGGTTTTAAAGAACTCCTTGAATCAAAACTAGATTTGTCCTTTTCCAAGTGAATATACAATTTATCTGAAGATAAGATCATAGCCAGGGGAAATACTTCTATGATTAAATAATAATGTAATGAATTTAGACAGAGAAAATATTTTTACAAATGCTAGAAACTTTTGTATTGGCCTAATAATTTTTCTTTTCTCTTATAAGTACATTTCACTTACATCATTAAATTTTACAAGTGCTTCTGATGAGATATAAGAAGAAAAATAATCAGCAATACTGTATGACAAAGATATAATTATAGATTTATCTTTTTTTATTTGTTTATTAAATGGATGAAATCTTCTTTACAGCTGACTACAAGCAACCATCTGTTGTGAGCATATAAAGTCAAGGATTTCAAAATCCTCAGTCATATATGTGGTGTGGCTATAAAATAACATGACTGAGCTTACGTGTGCTGTGATTTGACTTCCATATGTGAATAACATGGCATACATGGTCATCAATTCTTTTTATATATCATGTCCCTTTATGCTGGACGTTACAGTTCTCCACATTTCCTTTGTTGCTCTAAATAAATTTTGACCCTGTCATCCATTTACACAAGCTCATTAAGTAGGTTACTCACTGCTTTCTGTTGCTTCTCTTGCCTTCTATATGTCCTGTGAGTGTTAAATTTTCTAAATCTCTTAAAAGGACACTGCTTAAGTGAACTGGTCAACTCATAAAAAAATAAGGTGGGGGTTGAATTAGCATTCTTTAGACAGCAACACTTGTCAAAATAAAAAATTATTTAAGAGTTATTAAATTAGAGTGAGGGTCCTGTTCATGATAGTGGTACAGTGTAAAATTGATCTCTGACTTTGAAAAGTTATTTGAAACTGCACTTTTGTCATTAATATCTGCATATGAGATCTTTTTCTTTTTCTCTACAAGAACAAATGGATATATACATTTCTGTGTTTTATTTTAAGAAAATATCTTTAATAAGAATTGTCTGGCAAAAAAGATTTTGTTCATAATTTAAACAAAAATTTGTAATTGAAGAGCAAACTGATTTGTACATTTTTAATTAAAAAAACAGATTTTTTTTCCAAAATGGAAAAAAATGATGCAAATATTAATGACATAAGCACAGTTTCAAACATAACATTTGTAAACAAAATTGCTCATTTTCCATAAGTCTTTAAAGTCAGGGATCGATTTTACACTGTATAGCTATTATGAACAGGAGCCCCGCTTCTAAATCAATAACCAATCAATTTTTTTAATTCTGGTAAGCATCACAGCCTAAGGTCTAAAGAATAATAATCTACAAAAGTTACCCTTCCCCCTCCATATTTTACAAGTGAACCAATCTAAGTAGTGCCATTAACATAACCAAAGTAAAGTCTCAAGAATGCTTATCTACAAAAACTATTTAAAAAAAACAAACTTTGCCCCTATTTTTTTAGGAATGTACCAGTCTACTTTAGCGCCATTATTGCAAGTTAAGAAAGGTCTAAAGACTGCTAAACTACAAATAATTATTTTTTACAAGGGACTGGTCTATTTAAGTAGTGTCTCTTAAAAGTTTCAGCACATTCATAATTTTTTACCTCATCTACACCATTAGAGTTGCCTTCACATGATTCTCAATGTACTCTGGAGGGACTTTATCACTTATGTTGGGATCCTAGCTGGAGTTGCATGTATTGAAGCTATGCTGTAAATGACTCACCTTGAGTGGTCAGGCCACATGACAAAGATGGAAGGCATTGCTTGGGTCAAGGCGGTCAGAGAAGGCAAGCATCACAAAAAAGATGCAAGAACTCTTTTGAAAGGACCATTATCTCATTTGGGACCAACTACTATCAGTAAATAACAGAAGCATGGTGATATAAAACAGAAGACAAGAGGTGGTATTATAAAATGGAAGCATCCCTGAATTGCCAATTTCTACCATAATTTGCTCTCCCTTGTGAGCCTCACTGGCTACTAGAGGACTTGAAATGGAAATCCAGTCTAATTTTTTGTTATAAAAGTATTGAGTAAAAGCAAAAAAATAATTTTTTACTTTGACTTGAAATCCAGATTTCCTTTGAGTAGATCTAATTGTCCAATCCTTGCCTGTTACTCATTTTGAAGCTATAAGCTTATTATCATTATGGATGCTTTTATTCCTTGTACATGTTTTTTTGCCACTGAATTGGTTTTATGAAGGGTTAGTGAGAGTTGCAGAAAGCAGAAAAATTGTGCTTTGTTTTCTCTGTCTGTGTGTCTCTGTGTTGGAAACAATACTTTTCTAGGACAATGTTAATTGCACCAGAATCATAATTGTTTCTTGTATTTTGTTTCAGGGGCGCATGTGTCTCATCTGGAGAATGTAGCTGAAGAAGAACTGAACCGTTTGCTGCGGATTGTCGTTGATGTGGAAAATCTCTTCATGTGTGTCCACAAAGAGGAGGATTCTGAGACTAAAAGAGTCTACTTCCATTTATTTAAAGTAAGACATGAATCTTATTTATTTTATGTTTTTTTTAATGAATGGTATAAAATTGATGTGAAACTCTGGTATCATAACATCTGAAATCATATAAAGTGTGCATCTGTTGATTTGTATTTTATATTTTCTATAATAAGACTTTCCTTTGGAAATTGGTCAAATTTAATAATTGTAGAACTTCTTTTTATTTATTGAAGGAAAAATTTATGAATTACTCCATCTTATTATTGTTACTTTTCATTACAACAGATAAGGCTCCCAATTGATTGATGTGGGTTCAAGCCTCGTCAGAAACTCTTACTTTATTTCTAATTTCATAATTAACTTGAGCAGTTGAAGAGTGGATTAATCTGGAATTGGGATAAGGAGGAGTAAAACTACTTACAAAATAATAGTAATAATGAAGTGTATGGATAAAAAGCAATAAGATTAATAAAATAATGAAGTGTATATTGATAAAAGCAACAATATTAATAAAATATAGGTAACTCTGCTGAATTTTCGATACCTAAGGTTTAAAATGAATTTTTAAAAATGAAAAAGCATTCTTGAAGATTTCATTTTAGCTTTAATTGAAATCTAAATGATTCAATTTATTTCTAGTAAGTAAAATATTTTGGTGTATTTCAGATAGAAATTATATAAATTGAAATGTCAAATATTTGTTCAATTTTTTTTCTTTTTTTTTTTCTTAATTTTAAGAAATTAGTAAACAAAACTACAATTTTTTTTAAATTTTCCAAAAATAAAATATATATTTGTGACAAGTTATTTGAGTAAAATTAGAAAATTTAAAGTTAAGTTAATCTAATTTGAAATAAATATTACTTATCGCATCAAAAAGTAAAATACAAGCATTTTTTAACAATGTGTCTTGTTTTTCTTTCGCCTTCATTTATGTATCGATAAGTTCTGAGGTGATGACAGCTCTTATTGATGACCAGAATTGACATAAATTTATGAAATCTAAGTGAATGCATTTTTTGTTTTTAACTACCTAATAATTTTTACAAATTAACATATTTTCATCAATTATTTAATATTTTATTGACTTTTAATTAGGTTTCAAGATGCTTTATGAAACTTGAGTTTACTAACTTAAACAAAAAATTACTTAATTGAAGTATGATCCAAACTAAAATAAATACATAAAATGAAAATATTTAGTGAAATAGTAATTAAAAAAAGTAAAACTTACTTTGAAATTTTGAAGGGGTGATTTGCAAAGACGTTAATGATGAAAAAGAACTGAATAAGGAAAGTGAAAAAATTTAAATTACATGATCTTTTTAAGGATTATGTCATGTATAGCTTCCCATAAGTAAAAATTGGGGATGTTTATATGCTAAAAAAATTTTTTTTTTTAAATTTTAAAAAAATGTTTGGGTACAAACAACTGTTATGAGATTTTCAATTTTTGATTTGTAAATGTACTTTTCACTTAATAACAATATCACCAAACTGCCGGCTTGAAGCAATGCAGAATTTTAATTGATTTTTTTAATACTATAAATTATTTAATTAAAATTTTTGACAAAGGAAAACAGTTCTTGTAAAAATTAATTATTCATCGAAAAAAATTTTCTTAAGACAATAGTGTCTTTAATAAATCTTATTTATTAAAGCAATTAAAAGCTTTTCTAATTAAATAATGTCATAGTTTTATTGCATTTATTATTTTACAGTTCAGAGTGGATTTTTGGTGAATGGCTTAATTGTTTTACAAAAAAAATTGATGATTTATTATTTCCAAGGTTTTTTGCCCTAAAAATTTAATTTCTCAAAATTTCATGAAATTATGTAAGTGGGTGGTAACATATGTTAAAAAAAAATTTACCAAAATTTTAAAAAATAATTTCATTAATTTCTGAATATGTCCTGAAAGTTTCATTAAAATCCAACAATTATTTGATTTTTGCAAGAATTTCCAAATTAATGAGCGTTTCACTGGAACCCCCAAAAAAAAAAAAACTAACTTTTATCATTGATTTGGCTGCTGATATAAATGAAACAAGATTTTTAACCAAAATTTCCAACATGCTAGAAAGTATTAAAAAATTTAAAAAAATAATAAAAAAAATAATTTGGTCTTTCCTCTTAATAACATTTTTGGTGATAAAACTTTGTTTTTATTGAGCTGGGGGCTTTTTTTCATCATGCTATGCTGTTTTTTCTGCAAAAAAAGTGGAGGTACCTAATAAAATAATAGTAATAATGAAGCATGTATTGGGCAGCAGTAATAACATGAATAAAATGATAATAATGAAGCGTGTATTGATAAAAAGCAATATTAATAAGATTAATAAAATAATAAAGTGTGTATTGATAAAATGCAACAACGATAAGAGGGAATAAAACTAAGAATACAGAAAGTGTATTTGGATAAAAAGTAATACTGATGAGATGGAACAAATTTACATCCCATTTTGCACAATACAATGATTAAATGCTCTGTAGAAAACAAATCATTGCAACCATTGTGAAATTTTACAAAGTGTTAGCCTGGCATCCAAGATCGATTGCCCAACTGAGCTGAATGGCTCCAACTGCTTGAAGTGGATTAATGTCTTTCCTCATGGTATTAAGGGAAAATGAATGCAAATTCTCTCAGCTAGAGTTTGAACTTGGTTTGCCAATTCCATTTTTCATACTGTTAATTTCCTACTCCTTGGTAGAAAGCAAATTACTAATTTATAATCATGACTTTTACTTAAATCAGAAGGTATGAAAAGTAATAATTGGAATGCTTCACCTTTCTAAGTGCTGTTTGTCTTTTATCACTAACCTAAAATGCTTAACAGAATTCTGTTTATTTTGAACATCTTTTTGGCAAACTAATCTGAAATCACAGCTCAAATGTCATGCTGTCGATATGAGGGAGGTAACTCAAAATTACTTTTCAAAATTTAATGTCATAATATTTTTGTATTTTTCGTTTTCGAAGATAAATTAAAATTTTTTGTACTTTAAATGGTAGAGACTTACATTCAGTTTTTTTTTTTTTTTTTTCACTTGGCATGATTCAAACATTATCCTTTTTTTTTTTAATTTCACCTTAAGCAAGGCAAAGTCACTAAGATGCTGAGGGTTACTGAGTGAATGAATAGAAGAAAAAAAACATAATTAAAGAATGAGAACAATATTCTGTGAGATATTCTCATTTATTTGTAAAAAGGATCAGAGGATAGTCATTAATATAAGTATTAATAGATATTGTATGCGGACATCTCTGCTTCTTGTTGAGACTTCTTGGTGTTAGAAAATATAAGGATATTATTGATATCTATCTTTCAATGGATAAAAAAATGAATATTTCTTATTACTGTAAATATTATTTTTGTGATTACATGTGTTTGAGTAGGCTTCCCTATTTATTTACAAATAGTGAAATTAGCATCTACTGGCCTAGATCATTAGACATCCCTCTCAGCAGAGATCAAGCTTGCATTCCCTTTTTTTTCTTTTTCTTTTTTTCTGAGAAACCACTTTTTAGCCAGGCACATTTTACTGTTAGGCTATGGAAGTTTTTACAGGCAAGGTAGTTATGTGGAGTTTTCCTTCTTTTTTTCCCTTCTTTCCAAGAAATGTACATCTCTCTTGTTGAGACTTTTCATGACTTAAACTGGTAGACTTTAATTTCACTGTAAGCAGAAATATCTACTCAAACATTTGTAACCAACAAAAATAACATAAGGAGTAATAAGAAATGTTATCAGATTAAAAAAAAACATTAATTGCTTAAATATAAAAAAACAATGAAATCTTTATTGAAGATCATCTAATTGCTTATTTTTTTTGTTAGACTTGTAAAATAAACAATTACCTTTGTTTCCCATACATACTTTCTAATCCTTTACCTATTGAATTAAGCTCCAAGGATGTTTGGTTTTGAGACACAACCAAGGTCTGATGAAATTCAGATGACAGAATAATTAAATGAATTATTTTTGTCTCATTTTCCACCTTCCTTGGAGGAATTATGGGGCCGAAAATAAATAAACAAGCAAAGAAAAGTTAACTGTTTCATAAAATTACATTTTAATCCCACTGCCATTTTAAAAAAAAATTATTTATTATGCATCTTTATTATCAAGTCTTTTTGCAGTCATAAACAAACTCTTTCCTTGGGTTAAAATTTTTGGGAAAACTTTTGATATCATCATATTTAGAAGATACTAAATGTGGTAACACTTATCTACCCCAGTTCTATTATATTCACCTGACCCTATGCTTGTGGGCCATATCAAACCCACCACAGGATTTTGTTTCTTTGTTATTTTTTTTCTAATTCCTATTAGGTTGACTCTGAAGTAATTTTTGTTCTCGGGGAACCAATTCTAGCTACTAATCATATGTGGCAGTTAATAATAAATATGGAGTATACTAACATACTTTAGTTTCTTGCATGGCAATTGCAGTGTACATAGTAGATTAAATTCAAAATGTTGTTCTCTTCCATGCCAATGCAAAGCTGTATACAGAAAGAATAACATAGGAAAATATTTTGGAACACAAATTAGTTTGTTCTACCCCAGCCACCATATACACCTGACCTAGCACCTAGGTGATTATCATCTTTTTTGATGAGGGGAAAACTTGCCTAATGAAAATAATTCAAGAATTAATTGAAAACTTTTTCACATCAAAACCTGTGGAATTTTACTCAAAAGCTCTCAAAGAGTTCTTGGTAAGTGGCAACAGGTCATTGCAAATGACAGTCAATATATAATTGAATAAAATGTAATTGTACTTTATCTTTGAGGATTAAAGCAAATAAACAAAAACAGAAATTATTTAGGACTCAACCTAATATATATAAAAGTGTGCAGAAAAGCACTTAGCCCAGCCAAGAAGCACCCACCACCTCCAAAAGAACACTGGTGTTTGGTCAGCCTGCCAGATTTTTGGAGGAGTGCTGTACCAAGATCTTTTCAGCATCTCTTATAGGATGGAAGTCAGTTGGTCTGTTCTATCCCCACCTGTCATATTCATCTGATCTTACACCAGCTTATTATCTTTTTTGATCATGACAAAATGCTTTGATGAGTAAAATTCAAGAGTTTGTCATTTTGCATATTTATAAGCCTGTTATATATTTTGAAATTCTTGATAAAATCCAAAGAATCTGCAATGTTATTGGTCCTGACCTGGCATCCCAGCTTCAGTCACTTTCCCACTGCTGTAATGTAGCCTCTCTGTGCCTTATCTATAAATACTTTCATGGTAATTATTTGGATGAACTTTCCTCTTCTCTATGAATTTAAGTGCAATACTAGATAATTAGGTCTCAGCAATTTACAGTTGAGTTAGCTAGATGTAAGTTCTTTACTAATAGTTTCTTTTCTTGCCTATGGGACTCTCTTCCGGGTTCTTGCTTTCTAGCCAAGTTTGATCTTCAAACATGTAAATGCAACATAATTTATCTTCTGTTTTCTTGATTCCTCTTCTTTTATTGTTCCTGATCCTTAATAATGTTTATCTTTTTCTTATTCTTTCACACTCGGTAATCGCCTGTGTCTAAGTGGCTTTACTGCCTTGCTTGCGGTGAAATAAATAGAAAAAATATATATATATATATATATATATATATATATATATATATATATAGGATGTTATGAGCAAAAAGAAAAATAAGCTCTGATTTCAGTAGGCAATATCCAGGAAATACTGGTGACCTTTGATCTAAAGGTTGAATTTTGTTTGATAGATGTTTAAATACAGCCATTTAAAAAAAAAAAAAAAAAAAAACAACAAAAAAAAAACAAACAACAGTCATTTTTACTGATGATTCTAGATTAGATATATTCCCCAACATTATTTTTAAGCTATTTTGACGATCTTCAGAAGGTAAAATTGTTTGCTTTTCTCTGATAACTTTTGATAATTTTATCATTATATATTTTTCAATTAGAATTTTTTATCTTAGCATAGGTGCGCACACATATATAAAGAGAGGTTTTGTAAGTTTGTTCCTGCCTGTCACTCACACACACACACACACACACACACACACACACAGGCAGCAACCTTTCTTTTAAACATGTTTTGTTAAATATGACTGAGAAGGAAAATTTAACTAATTTTCATTTAGTTTTTCCAGTGTTCTTTTCTTACATTTTTCCATTTGGTGGGAGTGAAAGAATACAAATACTGTTCATACCATTGATTGTCCCAAATGAAAAATTAATAAAATTTTCCTTGTCTGTCATATTTAACAAGTGTGTGTGTGTCTGTCTGTCTATTTATCCCTCCCTTGATAAAAATTCAAAATAGAAAATTATCAGACGATATCGTTGATGCAAAAAATTTTACTCATTGGAAATAGACAAAGTAACTGAAAGTACTTGGAAAAATTGTTGTTTCTTTTTGGTTAATAAACTAAAGCTGACCTATTGTTATTTTGTTTCAGCTGCTGCGTAAATGCATAATGAATATGTGTAAACCGAACATTGATATGGCCATTGGAACTCCTCCTTATGAGAAGCCCAGTATAGCAAAGGTAAGTTTTGTTTAGTCTCTCATCTCCTGACCTGTTGAGTAATTTCAGCAAAAGAAACTGAAGAAGCTTTAGATTTTTAAATAAAATTATTAAAACGCTTATTACTTAAAATCTTATAACCTTAATTACAGGTTTAAAAATGATTTCATATTTTTATTATACATGTTTTTATATTTCCTTAAATTATTTATCTCAACTTGGGATTTAATTTTGTAAACCTTAGGTCTAGGTTGGGCACTTCATAAACACTGGAGACATATGGGGTCTATCTGGAAATAATCCAGTCATTTAATTTCAATAAAGTGTAGCTTATTTGGGGCAATGTTTCCCCTTGGAACCTTATACATGCACATCATAGCACCTTTCACAACAGTCTGCAGCCTCCTCATTTGAGATCACCATCATCTGTCTTATTGTATTTTCCTTAATCTCGTTCATGGGTTGGAATTTCTCTTTTAATAATGATTTCAATTTAGGAAATGCTAGGATGCTGTTGTAGTCTCCCCCTCCCCCATTCGCCTCACTCAAACAGTGTTATAATGCCACTAAAACACAAGGGGTTACTGGGAGTGAAAGAGAATGAGAAGACTTTAGAAGGAACCGAGAACCCAATCCTAAACAACATTCAAGGAATAAACCTCTACCCTTGTTCTATCAAACATGAAAAATGAGTAATTGAGATACTCCAAGTGGCTGGTTAATTTCCGGACAGTCTGTAAAATTGTTAAATCTTATAATTCTAAAACACAGCCTGCCATTGATTTCCTTTGAGTGCAGCTTGCATTTGTTCAACATTTTCAGGCCTTCTTACTGAAGGTCTTTGAGAACTGGGATCACTTTCAGTGGATTCCCCAGCCAAATTTCTAATATCTGTTGTAACATTTGCTTGTCATCACTAAAGTATTATTAATTTGAGTCATTTTCATGGTTGAATTTTCAAGTTTCAAGCAAAACTTGATGTATATGTGCTATGAATGTGATGATCACACACTACACAATCTCACTCCATGGCATCTCTCTGAATGACCTTGTACTTATGGCAACATCATATTGAAACACCAGTTATTGTCTGATCACCGAAGTTAAACGATGTTGAACCTGTTCAGTACCTAAATGGGTGACCACTTGGGAATACCAGGTACTGTAAGCTTAGATGTGCAGGTGGTGTAATGGATAATGGCTCAGAATCGTTAATTGGAGAGCCAAGTTCCAATTCCCATTGGGTTTATTATAGTTACTTACACGCAAACACCTTTGGGAAAGACATGAATCCACCTCTTTCCCCCAGCTATGGGTTAATTAGTAAGACTTGTATCACTAAACTATTATTATATAAAAAAATTTTTATAATCTAAAAATATTTTTTGGCTTTAAATAACCTGCAAATGGTTGATAAACCATAGAAAACAAATCAATGAATAATGTCATAAGAATGCCTGTCTATGTAGTTAGGTTCCATTTAGCAAGTTATGCCAAGGCTGAGCAGTCAGTTCTCATAATATTCAAGATGTCAATATAGTTTTTAAACAGACCTTGTATTTTGTTGTAATCACTAAATGGAGCCCAAATATTGACTAGTAAAATGTTTGTTGGTCAGCATTTTTGAATTACTTTTCTGAAGGAACCCAATGTCTGTTACAGCTTCAGATTTCAAACATATTCAACTTTCACAGACCTGAAAAGTGGATGATGAGCATTTCATGTATTATTTTTCTAGCTTAATATTCTAAGGCTTTTCTCAATATTGATCTTTCTGAGATGATAGAAAATGAAGATATAATTTCATAAAATACATTTATTGAATGCTTTGGTACACCTCATCAGTGATGTTTCTAGCCAAGGTTTATTAGGGGTTTTGTGTCTTTCAACATCATACCCCCCCTCTCCACAGTGACCCAGCTGATACTGATCAAGTATTGGCTTGTGTACCTTCTGGTAGCTACAATTTTTTTCCCATCCTTACAACTACACACTGTGACTCGCCTTGGCAATTTACATCCTGGTCAAACTGTTGCCATTCTTCCTTCTGGTGTGCAGTGGGCCATTTAATCCGCTTTCTGGTCACTCTCTGGATTTTGAGAGACTGGAGTGTGGAGGGACTCTGCTTGGTAGTGTGTGCCCTGGCCATGCTCCTCCTCCATCTCATCAGGGAAATTACCTGTGCATTATGGCTGCCTCTCTCTCTCTCTCTCTCTCTCTCTCCAAAGATTTCATCCTGGTCTGGTGGATTTTAAGGCCATGCTGGTTTTTACATTCCTTCCCACAGATGCATTTCACTTTCGTAATCCAGGTGTAATCCTTGGTCGAAGACCTTTATCTGTCCTGATGGAGATTTCACCCCCCCCCCCTCTCGGGATCCCTGGGGGTATGTATTTGCTGTAAAACTCATAGCCAACAATGGTTTCTTTCTAGTGGAAGATGCAAGTAGGGATGCTAACTCACCTTGCCCAAACTGTCATCTTTCCGAGCTGTCAACTGTCTTTCCTGTTTTCTCCAAAACTGGTTGTCATCTAGTCTTTTCACTGAATTCTTCAAAGTTCCATTTTGTAAAATATATCTATATTAAAAATATATTTCAGTAATCCATAATTGTAATGATAATTTTTTTTAATTTAAACATGAAGATAACAGGAGGTGCAGTAGTGTAATTGATATCAACATGGAGAGCAGAATTGGTGAATCAAGTAAAAATTCTGGCCTACTCTATTGCATTCACTTCTGCACAAATGCTTTTTCTTCTCCCCTTAGCTATGGGTTAAATAACAGGGATTGACTGGGTTCTCTAATTTTGGGTAGCAGCCAATCTGAGAAAACTTGACAATTCAGATAATAAAAAAAAAAATAAATTGTTTCCTGCATTTATACATTTGTTTGTTGATAAGAATCACTTTTGTTCACTGCTGTTTGTCATTTATTTGTTGACAGGGAGTGACAAATTTTGTGGTGTACAAATTTGGTCATCTGGCCCAGAAAGAATGGCAGACAATGTATGATTTGGCAAAGATGTTTCTTCACTGCTTGAACCACTGGAAACTGGAGACTCCCACTTTGCACATGCAACATGCCCAAATGGATGACTTCCACAATTATCAAAGTAATTATACAAGGTAAGTACACATTGTGAAAGCTCAGCATGGACGGTAACCCCCCTACCATTGTGGGTGTCCTGGGTATGGCAATAAATTATGTCCAGCAGCAAAGCCTCTGATTGGGAGGTTTTGAGGGGCATGGAACCACCTCTTAATTGCTGTTGTTCCCAAGTACACCCTGACCTACGGGAGTAGCATCTATTAGGGTCCCAGTTATGGGCAAATACTTAACCCTCAAACTGGGATCAAAACCCTATGAAAGTATAAAAATAGATTTTTATAGTAAAAAAAAAAAAACAGCAATACATTTTTGAAAAAAAAAAAAATAAATAAATAAAATAATTAAAACATAGGAATCTGTCCTAAAAATTTTGTTGGCATTAAATAACCTACTGAGGTTGATATGCTATAAAACAAAATAAACTAAACCAAACCTACCAATTGGTAGTGGGGTACTCTCAAGAGGCAGTAAATGTTCCGAGGTATTATGGAGTTGAGGCTATAGTTTTAATCGGGCAATAAGATGATTGAATCCAAATTAGAACAAGTCACATTTTCATATATTTTTTTTTTATCTTCTTGTCTATAATACTTATATTTTTAAATGTATTTTAAATATTTAAATGCAATTGTCATAGGTGCATTGAGTAAAAGCCAAAATCTGGCAGCTTTTATGGTCTGACCAATGACCATCATCTGGCTGTCTCCATCAGAGCTTATTTCCAGTGATTAGTGATGTTAGAATGCAACAAAATGTAAATCTATGACATTAATTCTGCTCCATTTACCAGTGAAATTTTAACATAGATGTTGTCAGTTGATGTAAATATCTGAAATAAAGCATAATTAATGTATAGGAAATACATTGATTGTTTCAATAAAATATTTTGGTAAGGAGTAGAAGCTTTAAGAAAAGATAAGCTAAAACATTGCTTATGTTGATTACGTCTTAGTGTAATTAAGAAGCAGCAGTATAATGATACAGACTTTTATAAAAAGATTAATCACTGCCACTTTAAAAATGGACAACATTGGCATCTGCTTGCATCAGGATCATCATTGTCTCTCCTTATTCCCTTTTTCCCCTCTGGTTACAGATGGCTGTAATGAGCAGAAGAGTGTAGGTTGTGGATGCAGCTGCACGAGTTGGGCCCTCTTGACAGCATGTTGCAGATCCTCTCTGTGTTGATGGTGAGACTCAAGTCTCTGTCCCCACCTCAGATCGTCATATGCCAGGGAGGTCAATTTTCAGTAATGGTTTTTCATGTCTCAAGGTCGATGTTGGCCTGTGCCAGCAATGTTTTCAACTAATCCTTACTGCTGGCAAGTTCTCCAAACAGGATGATACGTGGGAGTCAAGTGGGATGTATTCTGAACATGTTACCTGCCCAGTGAAGGCTATGTTGAAGGATGATAACCTTGATACTGGAGATAGATGTCCAAGAGAAGATCTCGTTGTTGGTGATGCATGCTTCCAATTGATGTGAATGGACTCTTCAGAGTTTCATTTGCTGGAGCCAATCTAGATGTTTGATGTCCTGATAATACATAGTCCAGCCTTTATAAGCATACAGAAGGGTGGAGAGGACCAAGGACCAGAAGACCATGACTTTGGTTTTTATATTGAGGCCATGATTGCTGAAGACCCAATATGAGAGCATTCTGTATACAGTATGAGTCACTTTGATCCTGTTAAGATCTCACTCACAGGTGAAATTATTTGAGATGGTGCAGCCTTGGTAGGGAAATTCATCGACGATTACTACTGGCTGTCCGTAGATATTGATGCTGGCGTCCAGTGTTGCTTGTCTGGAGACTGACTGTATGAGGATCTTTGTATTTTTGACATTGACCTGCATCTGAAAGCTCTTGTAGGCTTCATTATACAGGTTTGCCGATCTCTAGATGTTAATGACAGTCTGGTCCATGGTTGCATTGTCATCAGCATAGTGAAATTCCCACTTGTGGGTGGTGTTACTCTTTGTGTGATAACAAAATTAGTCAAGGCTGAAGTGTCTGCTATCAAGTCTGTATCAGATGTCAATGCCAGGGTGGATCTCATTGATCATGAGACAAAGAAAATGGAATTGTTGTCATGGATAAAGTCAATGGACCTTTTCTTGGTGTGGGCATGGCATGGAGACACACAAAATTCTCTAATATAAATGTGATGAAATGGAAAAATCTGTTCAGATAACGCATTTCGACTCTTTATGACAGGTATCTTCAGGTCAGAATGCGAAACAAAAAATATAAAATATAAGGAAAGTGTGTTGGAATTTTGAGGACCAGGTAATAAATACCTTTATCAGATGCTATGGCTATTTTTTCCCTCCCTCTATGTAGTTTGAAATATTTTGATCTACATGTAAATGCAAAAACAGAGCCATTGCTAATTTTATTATTTATGGTATATTGCAGCACATCTATGTGTAGGTCAATCAGTCCCATTGGGTGACTGGAATCATCATTCCTGAGTGTAAATCTTTCATTCAATCAATGCATAAGAAAAGTCAGCTTGTTGAATCTCATAATTCTAATGTTATAAAATGACATTAGAATTACAAGATTCTCATTATGTAACTCTTGTTATTATGAATTGGGTTTATTTTTATTCTTCATTTTTTTTTTTTTAATCACTTCAAGCAAGGCAATAATGTTACTAGAATGGAAGAGATTACTGGGAGTGGAAGAAGTGGGAAGACTTTAGTGAAAAGAAAGGACAATAAAAGAACAGGATTCAAGAAGACAGAAGATGGTGACTGGCATTGCATTTTCAAAGTTTATAGGTGGCTGAGAAGTAAGAAACTGGAATAGTTCCACAGGTGAGAAGTGCAAGAAAAGGAACTATTAGAATAGAATATCTCACTAGTTCAGTAAAATGGTGAGACCTATTTACAAATCTCGTACTACACTTAAATTCATGTGATCACGGCACCAAGGAGGAAAGCTCATCAGAACAATTCCGATGAAAATATTTATAGAAAAGACAGAGGGAAGCGAAATTATGGCAATGAGAAAGTGGCTGAAGTAGAGATGCCAGGTCAGGACCGATAACATTACAGATCCTTCTTTGGATTTTGGCAAGAAACTCGAAATGCATATCAGGAGCACCAGTTATCATTCCCTTTCATTCATTGATTACCTATTTAGTGAGACAGCAAATAATGTCAGTAAGGAGGTGCAGAAAATGGAACTGTAATCATTGTTGTATTTGGTATCAACCCTATTGTACTGGGTTTATTTAAACAAAATTTTGAATTTTCCTGTTATCACTCACTGACTTTATCACTACTCAATCACTGCCCTTTTTAACTTTAGTTAAACACTATCCAAGCTGAACATTTAATTAAGGGATGAATTTTGCCTGTTATTTTTTTAACCTAGAACATATTTTTTATTAAATTTTGGCACTGGATTTGTGTTGTGAATTGAAAATGAAGAGCGCTCAGTAATTAAGACAAACATTAAATGGACACATGGTTATGTCATGTTGGTTTCTTTTTTTTTATTATTATTAATCTTTATTGTAGTTATTCTATTTGACTAAAGTTTCTTTCATCTTATCTCTGTTGCTTTTTATTGTAGCAGTCATTAGAAACAGATGTCATTTAAGTTCCATATGTGATAGATGCTTTAATGATCAGGTCTTTTCTAATTCATGACTGATTAGGTAGAAACTTTTCTGCAGTACAGTAGACTGGTTGCCAACCAAGGCTATAAGACCCAGTCTGTCCTGCTATTAAACTTATAGTTGGAGTGGGGAGAAGAGATGGATTCATATCTTTCCCAGTGGTATTTGCATGCAAGAGAATAGTTTTAAAATGTCCAAATTTTAGAGATGAAGAATTGTCATTATGACTAAGTTTTGACTAGTATTTCACCATATTTCACTTTTTTTTTTTATTGCAACTCTAGTCTGTGATCATTAACCAAATCTTCTTGGCATCAGTTTAGACTGGTGCTGCCTTTTTTTCATATATTGTGACCATTTTTTTTTAAGTTTGTACTTTCTTGATTTCAGATGAAAACTTGGAAATTTTCCCTTTCCAAAATGAGTTTTAGATTTATAGAAAGGTGGTATCATTTTACACTGACACCTGAAAGATATGGGTTAAGTAAACAATACAAATCAGGAATAAAGAATAAGTCTCTATTGAGATTAAAGCTTGCATTCTTTGTTCTTGGGTCTTGCTTACTGTAAACCTCAAAATCGGCAATCGATTTTTTCTCTATATCTCAAATAGAACTCATACATATGATCCACCACTTAAGATGCTGGAAAAATGTTTGGATCCCTGTACTGCTCTAGCAAGTATCTCACTCCTTCTGCTATCTTCTACGTTTACCAGAGCCAGATCAAGCTGAAAATGGAGTACTGCTGCCATATGTGGGCAGGAATTGTCCATTCTTCACTTTCCAGTCTTGATAGTCCAACAGCATCTCTGTGTACTTTTGGGTGACAATTATTTTCCACCCTATAATGCCTTTCTCACAGACGAGATGTTGCAAACCTTTCGCTGTTCTATCGCTATTTCCATGGAGAGTGTTCAGATGAACTACGCTTCTTAGTTACACTAGTACTGACCTTCATGGCTAAGAGTAAAACCCGCCATTCAACACACACTCTAGTGAACCACCCTCATTCCATTCATATTCCTTTGATGAAATGTAAGTTCCACTCAAGCAGCTTCTTCCCATGAACCACTGCTTTATTCAACCAACTTCCAAGAAGATACTTCTCTGGTCTTTACAATCTTAACCTGTTCAAGTCAAGGGTTGATCTTTATCTTCCACACATATTCACATAAGCTCTGCCTCTTACTCTGTAATCCTCTACCTTGAGTGGCTTTCGGGCCTTGTACAGGGTGAACATGACTGTTAAAAAAAAAAAATCTGAATGCAATCTTGTATGCTTATATTTTACATTTTTATTAAAATCTGAATTCTTTAAATGAAGTCAGTAATTATTAATTTTTTTATTTCTTTCAAGACTATTTCAGAATTACAGTAGCAATTATTTCAGACATACATGACCTAAAATTGCAAATTTCATTGAAATGATAAATGTAAGTTAATATTCAACTGTTTTGTATTTCATGTTTTTTCTAAATCAATCCTGCAATTTAAAATATTTTGACAACTTGATTTTCTTTATGGGTAGAAAAAAATCTTTAATTATATATTTATAAATAAGAATTCCTAGAAGAAAATTTATTTGGGAGCTTTAGCAGCTTTAGCTGGGAAAAATAAATATCTTACAAACATGTAATGGTGGATGGCTTATGAAAGTATGATTCATCTTTCATTTTCTTCTTCCAGATGGTTGTGTTATTGCCATGTGCCTGCATTCTGTGACAGTCTATCTCGCTATGAGACGACCGTGATATTTGGTCGCACTTTGCTACGTTCCGTATTCCAGACAATGAGACGACAAGTTCTGGACAAATTCCGTGCTGAAAAGGATCTCATGCCTCCTGAAAAAAGAACCCTGGTGCTGACACATTTTCCCAGGTGAGTGAGTCGTTAATTACATTGGTCTGGATTTCTTTAAACCAGGTATTGGATTTTTGCTATTATTTTTGTTTTTAAACAAAACCTTTGAAAAGTGAAGCAGTTAGAGAAAACTTTGCCTTTAACATCTGGTCTTAAAAAGCCAGTATCACTTGGATTGAAGACAAAAATGAGTTTTTGATTACATATACAGTTATTACTTTTTACGGAACTGTATAATGGTTATTGGCATGGAAAATCCACAAACTAAATTCAAATCCTGACTGAGTTCATTGGTTGAGTTCATTTCACATTAAGGCTCTTGGTAAAAGAATGAATCCACTTTTTTGTACTCTACCACATGTATATCTTTATTGGGCACTTTGTGGTATAATGGTTAGCAAGCATGTCTCGCTAGATTAATTATGACTGCATGGTGAGTTTGATTCTCATTGGGTACCTCCATGCTTTCGGACTTGTGCCACATCTAAGCTACACTTAGAAAGTCACCATATATATCTTTATGAAATGTCGCATCACTTTCATGCCAAGGTGCCTCAACAAAGAGTAATGGTTAACAAGGCCACTTTAATTCACTATAACACCGGAGTAGTGAGTTCAATCCTCAATCAGGCACATAATATAAATAACATATTTATATATATTTATAAATACATAAATAACCAAACAAGGTTTGACATGTCATAAAATCAACCAGCCAGCAACTATTATACCACAGTGGAAGTTTTTTTGTTTTTTTTCTCCCTCTCCTGTACTGCTTGGGCATCAAAAAACTTATGTCCATTGTCAACTTTTACAGGAATTCTTTAGAATTTTGTGTTATCCTTTATGAATCTAGCAATCATCATTCTGAATTCTACTTTCAATATGACAGGGAACACTGGTGAGATTATCACAGGTCAAATTCACTGGAAACAAGTGGATTCTTAATAAAACTAGACAGTCAAAATGCTTTGATTAGTTTAATTCCAGCCTCTATTGACTGCAGTAAAAGCCACTGTTGCTAAGCTTCCAACAAACATACTTTTAGCAAGAAGGCCTGCAGAAAAGAGAGGTAACTTCTTTCTATACATCACAACTTAGGACTACTATTTGAAGTATAGCAATGAAGTAATATTACTGCCTCAGTTCACCCTTTAAATTGAGTAGAGGGTAATACCCACAAGTTAACTAACGTTACATACTCGTGTATGTATATGTATATATATATATATATATATATATAACATTGTAATAAACCTGTAGTTGAGTTTGAGAATGGTGTTAATGATTTTTTTGAGTTTTTTTTTTCTCGCATTTGTAATTTCCATTTGTGCCCTGGATCCCGGAAAAAAGTCCCACAGTGGAATTTAATTCTGCTTGGAGATACATCAAATTTTTGAAAGAAAGACCTACCACTCACCAACACCATCAGGAACACTATCGTACTGTAGGAAACCTATACAAAGATACAATGATGATATCCAACCCCTCATGATTGGGGTCCATGAAGTGGTATAGGATAGAATAAATTTTGTATAAATGCTCTTAAAAAAAAAAATAAATGGTTCAGATAATCTTCTTGTACATTTTTGCTTGTGAAATGCAGGAAGCCAAAAAAATGCACTTTTCCTCCTTCCATTATTATTATTATTTTTTTTTTTTTTTTTTTTTTTGTTTTTAAAGTTCATTTCAAAGTTTTTTTTAATCTGTTTTGTTTTATTTTTACTAGATTTTTGTCCATGTTGGAAGAAGAAGTTTATGGGTCAAATTCTCCGATTTGGGACCCGGATTTTTGTCAGAGCACAAGTGGTACGTCTCCGGTTATCATTATTTACATGTGGACTATAGTCCTCATTTTTGTTGCTATTAACACATGTCAGTTTCATAAGGTCTTTGTTGATATGGGTAACCTTTAGGAAATTTCGAGCTATTGATTATCCTTGTTCTGCTGACCCTGATATCTCATCTAGTTCTTATTGCTCATTTTTCACCAGGTCCAAGTCTATACTGTCCAGACTCTTGATTTGAACTCACAAATACTATATCAAATTCATGAACCAACATTTTAATGTTCTGAGTGTAAAATTTGGAGCATTAAACCTAATCTGACTGCTGCTGTTTATCATGCTTGACTGCATTTACTGAGGCTTCTTTTTATTCTGCTTTTGCCGTTGGAGCCTTGCTGTCATTACTTTGTATTAGTTAATCGCTTATATATCATATTTATGCTAAGACTACAAAGGAAGTCTTCATAACCGAGCATATATGCTCATTTTTTTCAGACATTTGATCCACTAGTGTTCTCTGTTTAGTATTTTTAGTGATTACTCTCCACATCATGTTGAAACACTGGTTTCTGTACAATCACTGAAGTTAAGTAATGTTGTGTCTGGTCAGTACCTAGGTGGGTGACCACTTGAGAATGCCAGGTGCTGTAATGGATAATGGCTCGGAATTGTTAATCAGCCAACTTCCAATTCCTGTTGGGTTTGTTATATTCACTTACACAAAAATACCCTTGGAAAAGGTATGAATCCACCTCTTCTCCCCCTGCTGTGGGTTATTTTGTTAGACTTTTATCACTAAACCCTTATTATACCCCCCCCTAAATATTCTTACAACCTAAAAATATTTTCTGGCTTTAAATAACCTGCAAAGGAATGATAAGCCATAGAAAACAAATCAATCAGTTCATACATGATCAGCCATGTTTGATTTTTATTGTTTCACCACTAATGTAATTTGACAGGACTGTTTTGTTTACATACTGGTGGTCAATATATGTATTAGTAGATTTGTAGAGATGTTTGAATATACATGATGTATATAAATGTGTCTATTAAAAAAAAACATTGAAATGCATGTCTTCTCTTTTACAACCTGTCTCACAGTCAATCCCTTTTGATATGGAATAAAAATACTGAATTTATAGTCTGAGATAACATTTGATCCATTAAAACTAATCCTTTCTCACATTCTAAGGTCAACTATTACTGCTTACTGTTATGTCTGGTGTAAGACCATAACTTTTGGAGTATCAAGTAAAGATTAAACTTATTGTTTGTAAAATTGTCCATAAAATTCCACTTTCTCTTTTATTGACAACATTTTTTTCCTTTATTTCTGCTTGCCTTGTTATCCATATTAAGTTGGCCAAAAAGTTTGTTCACTGATTAAGTCAATTTCTGAATTAGTTGTTTTATGTTATCAGTAAATTTGCCAACGTTCATATTTATTTTATTCTTTTTATGTAAGTACTTTAATAAGACTTTTGATGATCTTGGCTGGTAGTCATTAATCTCACTATTTAAAAACAAAAAAAACAGGGATGCCAACTCAAATACATGAAGCCACTAAATATAATGTTCCTAGTAATAATAAATAACGGATTAAAAATGCATTAGTTGCTTAAAATTACTCATAATCGTCTCTTGTTTCTTTCTTTGTGTATATCTCCAAGAAAATAATTTAAATATCTGCTTAAATGCCATATATTTGTATAAAAATTTTTTTTTTTTTTTTTAACTAATTTTAAATGCTTTGTTTTGTTGCAGCATCCACTACTGCATCGGCTCCTGGTGGCTTTAACCGTTTCACAAACTCTGGCACTCCAGCAGCAAGTGCAGCATCTGCAACTGATGGTGCCAATGCAGTTAAACCAAGTTCAACCCTGGTGCCTACAAACAATCACCCAGCCAAAACCAAAGAAGGTAAGCATTGCCTTGTAATTCTGTTAGTTTTGATAATTATGTTTGGGAATTTTTTTATAAACATGAATAAAAGAAAAAAGATTTATTTAAAATGGACTGAAAAGCTGCCAGTGTCTAGTCATGATGAAAATAGCAAAATAAATTCTAAAACAACAATAAAGAAAAAACAAAAATAAACATTCATTTTGAAGAAGTTGACTAACAAAATGTAGATGTGACCTGAGGACAGCTGGAGAATTGACCAGTCAAGATATTGTGAAATATGATAAATTTCAAATGAAGATTCAAACTCTGAATAAAAAGACAAAAACTACCAATTTTTCTTCTTTTAATCAAGTCACCCCAAATAAGGCAATAATGCCACTAAGACACAAGAGGTAACTGGGAGTGAAAAAGAATGAAAAAAAACTTTAAAAGGAACCAGAAACCCAATCCTAGCCAGGAAACTAAGGATAAACCTCTAATCCTGTTCAAAAGATGGAAAGAGTCTGGACAAGAAAATAGGCGAACCTATCTACTCCTGTTGAGGAAAAAAAAATAGTAAATAAAATTTCAGTGTTTAGGTGGAGATGTTAGAAGTCTGGAGTCTTGAATACTTAAATTATTCCAATAAAGTTAGAGAATAAACTGATGCCAGTCATTTCAAATGATTCAATTTTGAATGGTAATTTATATTCTACATAAAATAACACACATTTCTTTTATTTGTCCCATAACAAGAGGATATTGTTGGGGTGCCAATATGACATTCATTTCACTGAGAAATTGGAGTTAATCAGGCCAGTTATTTTACAGGTTGTTCTTTATTAATACTGGTCACACTATCTGTGACCTTTTTATAGGTTGTCAAAGAGAAAATCAGTTTGAAGACTATTTTCTGTGATTGATGCATATTTTATCCATTCTGATGTTAATTGGCTGATTCTGGTTTGGTTTTTGTGTGTTGATCTTAAAACCTATCGAGAATTCCCATGGGATGCATAAGAACTGCAGTTTAATGTCAGCACAGGATTGCAATTCGGGAAAAGAACTTTGAGGATTGGTTTCTAAGCATCTAGAACTTGAGATTTCTGGAATATAAAATGGAGCAGGTAATTGGTAACTCATAAATTTGGCGAACTATTTTTATGGGCTCTAGTTGTGTTTTTCTTACATTATAAGTCTGGTTGTTTTTTTGTTTTCATACATTATAGTTCTGGTTGTTTTTCCTGCATTATAATTATAGTTGTTTGTTTTATAATAATAATTTTAGAACATTTTCTCTCACACTCATAAAAAAATTCCTTTTTTTTTTTTTTTTTTTTTTTTTATATAAACCCAAAAACACATGGAATCTAAAGAGTAGTGCTTAGTGAAGATTTCATGAATATAAAAATATATTGGAATTAACAAATTAATACTAAAAAAAAACAAAACTATGGACAAAAATCAGATGAAAAGTGTTAATAAAATCTATTCAGTGATTCTGGAAATTACTAGCATCTGATATGATTAACATTTGAAAAATGTATTTGACCATAATAAAAATTCTGGCTGTTTTTTTTCTTGTCCAATTTGGCAAAAGGCAATCACTCTTAAGATTATTCAATGACTATCATATGTATATTTCTTTTATGACTTCTCCTTGTCTGTTCTCCCCAACTTTACTGATTAATTGATAATAATCAATTTGGTAAATCTTACTTTTCTCTTTGTAAAGATGTATGGGAATTCACTTGTCCAGCACCATAATGTTTTGGATACTTATTAATTACCAATGACCTTAACATTCTCTTCTTTGAAATTTACACCTTGTCTTCATTTTCTCCTCCGCTCACTGCTGTGACTAATAGCTGCATTCCAGTGATGCTATTTAATTTCCAAGTTGAAGATGTTGATATGTTTGTTATCATGAAATAATTATGTTTGGTGGACCATTTCAAAACGTTGATTTTGACTTCACAGCTGCTGGAGACAAACGCCGGCTTGATGAGATGCAAGGTGCTGGAGAGAACAAAAAGCGAAAAATTGAGGGAGATGTCAAAGAAGAACTTGTGACTGAAATACTCACCTTAATCACTGATCCAGAACAGATGGTTGGACCAGACGTAAGTAATCACCGCTATTTTACTATTAATCAAAGTTACTCTTATGTCATAATCTTGTTCAGGGAAAGGTAGCCAAACTCAAACAAGCTTTCATAGAACATGTGATTTGAAGTTAAGAAAATAAAAAAAAATCACTAACATTCACCATTGATGTTATTACATTAAAAAAAAACTCTTTCTTTTTTGAAGAGAAAAGAAAGAGGAAAAAGAAAATGGAATAAAAAAAAAAAATATCCCTATTTCTACTAATTCAAAGATAGATAGTTTATACCTGAATCTGTTGTCATCTCTTAAACCAAAGGTCATACACTCTTGCTCTTTTTGTCCTCATTCATTTCTTCACTTTGTGTCATGTCCTGGATATGACATTAAACTACATTCAGCAGCAAGGCCTCTGATTCGGAGATTGGAGTTTTTGAAGAGCACGGAACCACCTCTTAATTGCTGCTGTTCTCAGGTTCACCCTGACCTGGAGTGGTAGCACCTGTTAGGGTCCCAGCTATGGGCAAATAGTGAATCCCCAAACAAAAATCAACAATTCATTTTTATAGTAAATTTACCAACAATGCATTTTGTAATCTACAAAATATATATCTAAAAAAAAATTACCTTTACCCTGAAAGCATAAAATTACATACAAAATATTTAGATTTTGGCATTAAATAATCCATAGATGTTGATATGCTGTCAAACAAAATCAAACAACATGAAAGAATTCTTTCATGACATTATTCTATATATTTTACAATATCTTAAAGAAATCAAACTGTATTCCAAAATATAACTTCAACAAAACTACAACATAAAGCACACATAACACTGCTTCTAGTAACAAACATGTATATGCACAAAAGCTGAGTATCATCTACCATGTATTCAATTGTGAAAGCAGAATAACATATCATATTTTTATTACTTCAAAGCAGAAAAATAAATTTTGAGATTAAATGACCCATAAAGAGTTGATATGCCATTAAATTAATCAATTGCTTGTGTCAATGACTGCTGAACAAAAAATTCAGTAAAACTGTTATACGTAATTCCTTTTATTCCTCTATCTATAATGCAATAAATTTCCTTTATTCACTGAATAAATGCCTCCCTTCTCTGGCTTCAGTTTCTCCTTTTTTTTTTCTCCAGAATAGGTTGTCAATGAGTGGGGGGTGATAACATAACGTTGGAAAAAATAATTCATGTGAACTTATTCTATCAGACTCCCCTCAGGCTTTCAACACATGGAGGTTGAAAAGCTGTCCCAATAAGAAATTCTGTATGTTCATTTCAACAAGTATGTTATGCTGAAAACTTTGCAGCACTCACCACATAATACCTTATTGAATCAATTCTTTCTGAAGTATACGAGGAATAAGTCAATCTGAATCATTTAAATTTTAAATTCATGTAACGAGCACTCTTTAAAAAAATAAAATAAAGACTAATGCTATAGGCCAAAAGTTTGGGATCACTCTTTGGATTTCGAAGAATCACCTAAAAAAAATTGAAGGTTGCATACCTTATTCAAAATTAATTTAGCATCTCACTAGGCCAGAGGGACTTTCTCTTCCTGAAAGATTGAAAGTTTTTATCAGATATTCAATAATAACGAAATAAACCCATTATTGCATAAATTTTCCTTAAAATTTTATCTCTTTGCCTAATTTACCTTTCTGGCTGATGGTAATCTTAGATAACACCCTTTTTAAAAGCATTGGGGGTCATGTACTAATGGTCTAAATAGTTTCAGCATACTGGTTTAGGTGAAGTTAATTAAACCAAAAAATGTATGAAACTTACTAATAAATTCAGGCAATGACCCCAAACTTTTAGCTTATGTCAATATTTCCTGCTTGGATTAGTGTGAAAGGATTTTGACTATTTTTAAGAAAAAGTTAGAATAAAATTTTTCAAAAAAAGTTGTTTAATATAACTTATTTCCAATAGTATTTTATCAGGGATCTCTGTAATTGATATTTTAAAAGTATTAGATACTTTTATCTAGCCCATTTCAAAACATATTGTGTAATGGATTGAAAATACTCAACAATGAGCAATACTGAAAAATCAAAAGTCTGAAGGATTAAGTACATGTGGTAGGCAAGTACTGTGTGTATGTATGTATGTATGTATGTATGTATGCGTGTGTGTGTATATATATATATATGTATATATGACAAAAACAGCACAAAACGCATATTGTATAATGTTTACCTTAAAATATAGTTAATAAAATTTTTCATAATTGTATTACAATTATATTAATATATAATGGTACATATAATATTTATTTAATTCCTTGATTTTTTTTTAACTTTAATATTGCCATGTTTTATTGCCCATTCAACATGTATTGTATTTTAGGTTCAAAATAACATATATAAAAATGATTTAATCACACTAGAGGCCTCTTTAAGATAGTTCTCAAGTATCTACAAAAATTTAAAAAAAAAACTTAATTCTTTAAAATTAACCTTTTGTTGAATATCTCTTTCTGACCACTTCAATGTGTCTTAAAAACGTCAATTCATCTAGACATGAATGAATATCACACCTACTCCTAACCTCCAACCTATATTTTTCACTTTTCTGCTTCAGCCTTGGCCCATCTTTTGATTGGTTAACCTAGACATACCTACAAAATTTTGAAATCTTGTTCCTTCCTCCTTTTTAACTTTTAAATAAGCTACCATATTCTGTTATCAAAAATAAATCATTTTCATCAGAAGTTACCTAACATCACCTGATGATGGAACAATTTTAAGTTCTGAAACAGAAATTTTTATGTAGAAATGTAAAATATTTTTTAAATATATATGAGAGAGAGTGAGTCTTGGGTGTAACGTAAAACTACATCCGACAACTGAGTCTTGACTAGAGGTCAGAATTATGCTATACCAAACCATTGTTACCTACGGGTGATCTTTATCTAAGATCTAGCACTTGTTTGACCCCCAAACAGTGTCTATATTTTTACATTTTTTTTTTATTTAATGATGATTGAATGAAAACTGGATAAAAAGAATTAGCATTGCATAGAATTTGTTTATTTATATGTATGTGTATATCTCAGTGTGTGAAATGAAAGATCGTTACTTACCACTTCAAATCAAGATTGCCGCCATATTTTCTGTGAGAACAAAATGATTATCATGTTCACTTCCTTCTTTATAGAAGAGTGCAGATGCTGGTGAACCAGAGTTGCTCATGATTGGACTATAAAATGTCCTATGAGTCACAGTGTATTGCATGCATTAAGAGAACAGTTGTAGCTGATGGATGGCACAAAAGTTGATATCTGATCAATATTGACTGGGTTGCTATAGGGAGGCGAGGTATGATATTGAAAGATCTGAAACCCCTAATATCTTTAAACTAAAAACATCACTGATGTGTGTTTATTTATCAACTAGCCTAGAAGGCACCCCTTGAGTGGACTTCAGGCTAGCTCTTGTGGAGGGGTTTTGGGCCTTCAGCATGCATGTACATAAGTTATAAAAATTTAGAAATAATAAAGTTATTTTATCTTTATTTGATACCTTAATTCAGCATAATCTTTCTTTGTATGTGCAACTGATCTCTGTAGTTGAAATTTTTTTTTGTATGCAATTTTTATTTTCTTTTAAAATCACCATTCTTTATGATCACTTCACAAATTCACTCTTGAAAGACATTAGGGAACCCAAACTATGTAATACTTCAAATACGTCACAGTATGCATACTAGAAAAAAAAAAAAAAACATGAGGAATATATTGTGCCCCACTTAAATTTAATTACAGCTTCAATGATAGCTGTAGCATCTTTTTCCGCCAAAAGGTAGTTTAATTCACTCTTATTTAGGCTGCATGACACGAAGGCAACAGGGTGGCCATTTTGATTAAGAGTTGCAAACTAGTAATATCAGAGACATCAGATTCTACCAAAAAAGGAATACTCTCATCAACAGAGCTAAGTGTTGCAGAACACAATTCCTCTTTGAGCTCATTAAAAATCTCCAAAGTTTCTTTACTTATTGGGAAAGATTTAGTATTGATCAATGAACTGGTTTTATTAGAAAAAGAAGGAATCCATTTGGAATAATATGAAAACATATCCAAGGTCCACCTCAATGAGATAGTATCCAATGGGGGCAGCAATATCTGGAGTGGGTGCAGTCATTCAGGATATGGCCAAATAGTATTATTGCTTACATTATCACTGAGTATTTTAATAGACATTTTTTTAATAGATATTATGGACTTTGATTCATTTAATGTAAACCCCCATTTTTGTGCTACTTGTTGGAATCTCTGATCATGGTGTTTTTGATCTTAACCATCAATGGTGATGTTGTCTACATAAGGATATGTTATCTCAGGTTCTCTTTTTCAACAAATTCATCCATTGCCCTTTGAAATATAAAGACCCATTGGTTACACCAAAGGGCAATCTACAAAACTGATATAGCTTCTCATTGGTCTCAAAGGCAGTAAACTTTTTATCCGCCTCAATTATTGAGATCTGATGGTAGGTGGTCTTCAGATCGAAAGTCGAAAATGCTTTGTCCCTTGCCAGACTGTTTATCATATCAATTTGAGGCAATCAACCATGTATATAAAACTGTTTGGGGATAATCTACACAGAGCTGTTTATTGTGCTTATTGGTAAGGTCCTTCACACCAACCAACTGGACTCTCCATGTTGAATAACAGGGTTCAATGATGCTTGAGAGTAACTGGGAAATTTTCCTCTCAATTGAACACCTTATCATCTCTACTAAAACGTCCTTGTTCCCACCATAAGTGAAGATTGTTTTTGTGTAGCTTCTGAAACTCATATCCAAGAATTACCACCACACGGGTTATCCAAAACCCCAAATTTCATTTTTGCATATTTCTGGCTGCATACTTCTATATCGGTAATGCAAACACTGGTATAGTTGGTCTCCATGGTTTTAAGAGCTGTAGACCTTTTTGTGTGCAGGGGTGGAGTTTCAGGCTTAATAGGTTGAATGTGTTTTCACTAATAGTTTTCTGAACTACAAGAGTCTATAAGAGCAGTGAATTGTCTGCCTTTTCTGTTGGTCATTGTAGTTGCATGAGAGAGATTTGGGGAAATAGGTATCTGGTATTACACACAAACTTTGTTTAAAGTTAAGCAACATGGCCATTGTCCCAGATGACTTGATCTTAGATCGATAAACCTTCGAAGTTTCTGTTTTTCCCATAATTAAAACATGTGACACTACGTGCAGGACAGACTTTCCAATTATGAACTGCGTTAACACAAAATTGGCACTTTTTTTTGGTAAAATATTTTTGGCAGGGCTAAAGCTGTAGGGTTCTCTTCTGAACATTCACTCTTGGTGCCAACAGCAACTACTCGGACCAACAAAGTGCTTGTAAGGGAGTAAAGTTTCTTTGGGCGAGATCCAGTGTTGAATTTTCCACCAACTGCTGTCTAATATAATTGGATCTCTTCTCTGTATTGTTCAGCCGTAACTTTTTTATAGTTGAAATCTTTACTAAGATTTTAGAGTTTCTGAAGAAAATTCTCAAGAGACGCCACTGCCGTCTGCTCAAAAGCTGATGCCTAGCAGAGATCTCATTAGGTGTTTTGATATATAGCTGGTCCAATGTTTGGACAGCTTCCTCATAATTTGTACAATCTGTGATGTACTCATACACCCAGGATGAATTACAATTTATCACAGATTGGAACTTGTTCAGTGCTTCTTCCCCATATTCCAAAATAAAATTTTCAAACGTTCTTTTCCAATGCTTCCATTCCTTAGAAGTGTTAGGGGCCTTGTGATCTAGGTCCAGTTAATATAGCTTGAGTATTTTGGACATGTTAAATTTTTTTCCTCTTCTTTGTTGAATAAATTGTTATAAATTTAAAAGTAATTCAAAGCAGCAGGAAGACAAAACTATGATAACCTTAAGAAAGGCTTTATTCAACAAAAGAAACTGAGCAAACTCCACATAATCCCCTTCCCCCAAGTACAGCAAAATTTATAAAAGAAAATGTATGTTCATTTGCATACAATAAATTTACATACAAAACACAAAAGAAAAGAGTTCATTTTATAACACTAATACATTAATTTTGTATATGCACACTCACAGAAACATTTGACCAGAATAATATTTACACCTCAACTGAGATAATTAGAAATCTGAGTAGAATTCATTAAAATTTAATTGTTATAACAATAGAGTTAATTTTACAAATTAAGTTTGGATATCTGTCTATATTTCTGAGATGAGGTAAAACTATTTACACTATTTACGTTGTTCGGACTATTGTCTTGTCTTTATTGTCATATTCATGATGTTTCGGCCTCTGTATGCTCTAGCCTTCTTCAGGTGATAGATGTTGGAATTTTGAACTGAACTCTTTATTTCGTCCACTGGGGTAGATTGTTCTAGTTCCACATGCCATGCCTTTTCTGGATATCTCTGTTGCAGTTATCTCCCTTTAGAAACTCAACTCTACAGGTTTTTTTGGTTTTTCAACTCCTGTGGCCCAGTGGATAAAAGCATTGGTTGAAGTAATCAAAAAAGTAAGTTGATCCAAAGAGTTGCGAGTTCAATACCTGGCCGCAACAGAAGTGAACAACTACTGAAACATCGAAAATATAACAATAAAGATGAGGACAACAATGTAAATAGTGTAAATAAAATTGTTCAAATTGACAAATCTGTCAACACAACATAATTCTCTTTTATTAAAAAAATCTTTCAAAAATAAAATATGCTTTCTGAAATCAGCACATTTGTATATCTTTAAAATACCGGGGATTGTAATAAGCTTTTCCATTTATGATTAGTAAATATAGTTTTTACATTAACAATATCACCTAATTGTTAAAAATTAATACAAATTTTAAGATTTAAAATTTTATAAATTATGAATAAAATTATTAAAAATTGAAAATAATTCTTGTAAACATTCATTATTCATTGAAAAAAATTGTTTTTCTTCTTTAGTGCTCATCTTATTCATAAAAGCAATTAAAAACTTTCTAATTAAATAATGTATTTAGTTTTATAACATTTTTTATTTTACAATTCCAAGCAAATTTTCTGTATCTGGGGGTCCTGTTTGATAAAATAAAAATTGATGATTTAAATTCTCAAAGGACGTATGCTTAATTAATATAAAGCTCTACAAAAATGAATTTAAAATTAAATAAGTGAAACGTAACAGGTAAAAATATATATTTTTACCAAGATTTTCTTAAAAAAAGAAAAAGTTTCTAAAATATTTTCACTCATTTGTGAATAATCCTTATAAAATCTTTGGTCGTTTCTCTTCTAAATAACAGATTTTGACGATAAAACTTTTCTTTGTTAACTTCGGCGCATTTTTTCGTCATGTATGCTATGCATATTTTTTAGTGAATTTTTGGAGGTACCTATAACTTTACTAGCCATTAAAAATTATTTGCTTATATTTTTACTATGAAAATTTAACTCAAAAAAATAAAGAAATATTAACATTTTTGTTTCCATTTTTTTTTTTTTTTTTAATCATTCTGAGTCTGAGTAACAATAATATTTTTACGACATTTAATAGTTTCTGAAACTAAAAAACTAAAAAGTAATATAACATTTGATTGAATAAATTATTGCTTGTCATTTCTACGTTTTCTCAAAGCAATTACAATATTGTATTGCTCGGGAGTCGAATTTTTTTTTTTTATCAATATTTATTTCTGTATTTTATCTTATCACGGTCATATTAACTGATATTTACGCGCACTACTGGGTAAAACCATTTTTCTCGGTTATTTTTTTTACCTAATCGCCAATCTGTCCGGTCTTGAACAAGACCATGACCGGATCGGAAGTGACATCAAAAACGGTGAGTTTTCTGATTGGCTGTTTCCATCCGGGATCTGCCCGGTATTATTTCAAGCTTCAGCAGCGACCAATATGGCGGGATTATTGTTTTGGTGATCGCTTGGCTTGAAAGTTTTCTTTCATTATTTACCAATTAGATTGATACTTGAGTACACTGGAAAAATATTCCTCTTCGTGATAATGGAGAGTTCAAAAAGACTAGAAGCTCGGAAGTCGAAAGTGTTTGGTAAAAAGAAACGTATCCGTCGTAAACGAGTTGTCCGAGGACCCAAACCGCCACCGACCCTCCAAGACTTACAGGTTAGTTAAAATAGCCAACATTTTTTTTAACTGTTGTCGAGTTTTACAATTCCCTTATAACCCAAATTCATTTTCTGTTGTTACGTATAAGCATTTTCTTGAAAATAACAACGTGAAAGATAAGACTAGAGTATTTGAGTTAGTAAAAAATAGACCCTTACTTTGTGACCGTATCTTTTTTTTTCTTACAATGAGTGCAAGTTTTTATTTTATTATATTTTTTTTAGCAGCAAGAGAAACCAAAGAAACTTTTTATTTCATACGATTAAAAGAAAATCAAATGAAAATATTCATAAATCGCTATAGAAAAGAGTCTAACCGCTAAAGTTTAACGATGTGAAAAGAAAGAGCCATTGATAGTTTTCTGTTTATTCGGCAGATGCATGAAGTTTATTTTTTGTTTTTAATTGATTTCTCTCTTGCGAATTTGTGCCTTGATGTCTGTTGATTTTTCAATTTAAATACTGAATCTAAGGGAAAATCCTCTAAAAATTAATCAGTTGCATTAAAAAAAACAACCTTTTTGCCTAAAGAAGAAAGCGTCATTGTTAATGTTTGTTTGCCGTTGGCCAATCGATTGTGGGTGAGAAAAATTCTAAGAGTCAGGCTTCATATACACGGGGCTTCATCCCACTTCTTTTCTTTAACTAAAAAAAAAATCTCAAATGTCGACTGGATACAAAAAAGACAGTTTTTTTTTTTCCTTTTTCTTCCTTATCTGCATTCTGATCCTTTTTTTGTGTATGTAATAAAAAATGTCAACACAAGACACAGCAAGAAAACACTTAAAAATTTTGAGCTTTGACGAGAATAATTTTTGTTATTATATTTTTCATTCCTTGAAAAAGATTAAGTTCGATTTTTTAATGTAGAGAAAAAAGTTTGAAAGTTAACGTTTTAAACAGTCTGATCTCATCGTTAATTAAACGTTTGTTTCTAAAATGATGTGTTGTGTTTTGTGTGTGTCAAACAAAAATAAATCAATGGAGTATTTTTTTTTTTCTTTTCTTGACACATGCTTATTGTTTTAAAAACAAACATTAAACAACGATGAAGAAACCCGATACTGTTTTAAACGTTAACTTTTTAAACTTTTTTTTTTTTAACACTTGAATTAAAAAATTCAAGTATGAACCTTTCTTTCTTTTCTTTTTCTTTTTTAATCCTGAAATTTCAATTTATAAATAAGGATTCAAAAGTTGTTTATTGGGTAAAAATTAAAAATTTATAATCAGGTTTCTTGACTCAATTGTAACAATTCCCATTTTCAGTAACTTTTTCTCTCCCTAGTCTCCTTTCTACTAAAAAGTAAAAAAAAAGTTTTCAAAAGAGCAGAAAATTGGAGAAATATTGTAGTAAATGTATCTTAACTAAAAAGTAATGGGAGTAGTTTCCACTGCTTTTAAAAGTGGATCACCTATGAAATATTTCTTGTTAAAGTTTACATACGAGGTGTTGCCAAAAAGTTCTCAGCCCGACCCACTTTTTGAATCGGTATTTTAATAACCAAATTCAGAACACTGTTTGGAAAGTGGGTCGGGTCGAGGACATTTTCTTGGGACTGTTTAGATTTTTTCCTGAAACTTTTGTAAGATGTGAGACTTGATTTAAAAACTAAATTTAAAAAAAAAAGAAAATCTTCACGGGGCATTTTTACTTGCCAGCTGGGATTGGAGGGAAAGCAGAATTGAGTAATCTTAGTAATAATAAAGCCCCCCCACACACACATACTCTTCAGTGTTAATTAATGAACCCAGGGGATAACCTGACCCAGTTTTTATGACTGTCTCTTTCATTTTAAAGTTAAAAATATCTCCCTTCCTTCGCTCCTTTTTAATGATAACTGATTTCAATCGTTTTCTGCTTTTTTTTTTTTTTTTTTTTTTTTTATAAATCTCCTCTTTCTCATTATCTCTTACCCTGCTGCTTTAACGGTGAAAGCCAGGCGTTGTAATTGATCCCGTATGTTTCTTTAAAAAAAAAAAAATCTGTGTTTAATCAGAATTTCGCAGAATTTACCTTGCATATGATTAAATGGTAGAATTATTATTATTTTTTTTTTTTTTTTTTTTTTTTTTTTAGCTTGGAATTGTGGGAGATTTTTATTTTTCAAAATCAGATTTAAGTATTTTTCACATTACATTAAAAAAAAAAAAAAGTTTCCAAAGAAACACGATACCTAAGTTTTAAAATAAAAAAAATAAAAAAATCTTTCTTGGAGCATTTTTAGTTTTAATTTCAAGCTAATAGATTGAATTTTATTTTCAATAAGCAAAATACTTTGCTGTATTTCGAAACTAATTTAAATTGACTGAAAAAAACTTTTAAATCGCTGATTTGAGTGCCCTTTTTAGCCATCTGTCAGCACAATGTAGTTCTCTTTATTAAAAAAGTTTTAAAAAATAAAACATACTTTTCTGAAACTTTAAGGAATATTAGCTGATTTAAAGTTCAGTTAATCTGGTTTTAAATGAATATTACTTTTAGTTTAAAATATCACAGAAATGCATTTTTTAATACAAGGTAGGTGTTTTATTTAAGGTGTTGACACTTTGACAGCCAGAAGTTTATCTAATTTTTTTTCTATGGGGGAAATATCTGTAAAAATTACTTGACAAATATAACATGATCACCTTTTTTTATATAATGTTTAAATATTCGGTAATCTTAAAAATTTAGGAAAATATCTGTCATCTAATGTTATAAAGTTAGTATAATGTTCGTAGTTGCTGATTAGTAACATTATAAGGAAAACACTGGAAAGAAAAGGCTGAGTGAAGGAGGATTTAATGACATGAGAACATGGATTGAGAATACATTAGTTCTGTGCAGCAAGTGTATGACTGGAAAGCACTATATGCCTTTGCAACTCATTTTTTGCTATTGTTCTGTGAGCATACATTCTACTCCTAGTGGATGGTTAGGTCCATGTTTCAATAATGGGTGTAAAGAAGGTTAATCAGTCTTTTTACATGATACAAAATATAAAGAAATATCTGCAATCAGTCCTGACCTGGCATCTCAGCTTCAGTTACTTTTCCATGACCATAACATAGCTCCCCTCTGTCTTTTTCTATAGATATTTTCATGGTGATTGTTTTGATGAACTCTCCTCTTTGGTAACTCTCTTCTGGCTTCTTGGTACCTCAACCACATTAATTTAAGGGTAATACTAGATTGGCAACTAGGTCTCATTTTACTGTTGAAATAGCTAGATATAGCTGCACATTCTAATAGTTTCTTTTCTTGAATTTTAAAAAGAAAGAAAAGAGATGAAGTGTCAAGAGGAGAGTGTAGGTTTCAAATCTCATTTTTTCCTTTTACCAGTAATTTTAGAGGCACTAATGAAAAAGACAAAACTCGCTTATAGTGAAATTTGTAAATGTTATAAAGTTCATACAAAGCTCATAGTTGCTTGTTAGCACTAAGATAAACTCTTCTTCACTCAACTCTCAGTTAAGTGTTTATCACAAGAAAATGGACTGAGAATACTGTAGTTCATTACACCTGAAAACATGTAGTAATCTTGACTAACAAATGCTATTTGCCAGTGTCATCAAACACCGACCTAAATGCATTTGAACTGGGCATTAGTTATTACTGAAAACATGTCTTTGTTAATATCATGGGGTAGGCATTTTTTTTTTTTTTTTTATATATATATATTATCAATAAACCCATGTATTTATTTTGATTTTAGGAGTACTTCCTCTACTTCATATTTTACTTGAAATCAAATGTATAATTATTTGATTTTTTTTTTTTTTTTAAACTTTTCACCCCAAGCAAGGCGGGAAGCCACTAGGATGCAAGGGGTTACAGAAAATTTAGAGCAAGATCAGATAGGAGTGATAGAAGAAAGGATGAGGAGGAGGGTAGTGGATAGATCAAGGCAACTAGAGATGTCGATTGACATTACACTTGAATAGCTGGAGATTATAGCTCTCAGGGAAACTGGAATAGGGAAGAAAGTTCCACAGGCGAGAGGTGCGAGACATGAAGCTATTGGAGTAGAAGAGACGGCTACATTTAGGAGTTTCGACAGTGAAGGGGTGAGAGCGGGATGCCAGCCTCATAGGGCGCTTGAACTCATGACGTCTGGGAACCAGCGAATGCAGCTCCTCAGGGCAATTTCCATGAAAGTATTTGTAGAACAGACAGAGGGAGGTGACGGTGCGTCTGTGAGAATAGATAAAGAAAAAAATAATTCTTGAAAGACTTTTAAGTCAAATTAATGACAGTTTCTTTTAGTGTAAAATGAGAGAGTACTGAAAAGTTAGTTCTTCAAATTATGACCAAACATCAGTTTGTTTGTTTTTTCTTTTTCTTTCTTTCTCTTTCTCGCACAATTTTTTTGTCAAACCAAGAACATTTCATCACCTCTTACTTTGTGAATTTCTGTAATAAGGAATGTCCTCATCTTTGTTATCACAACATTTCAGACACTGTGCTCTCTGGCCTTCTGAAACTAAAGTACTTCTCATGCTAAAAAGAACAGAAGATTGCTTATTTATGTTGGTCGGGTGGTTGGAGGAAGTGTGTGTGTGTGTGTGTGTACATAGATTAGGTTTATTTATGGGCACAAACTAGGTGGCTATATATATATATATATATATATATATATATATATATATATATATATATTTAAATTACAATAAACGTGCAATCAATTTACAAATACATGAATTATTCATACAAAACTAATGCAAAGGCTAATGATTTAAATGGCAAGACATCCATCTTGCAAACGATTCAAATAGTACACAAAAACCTCTAAATCCGTTATGCATGAGTTGATCCTTGTTTATATAAATTTCTGCCGTATTAGTTGTTATTTTTACTACAAGCTTTCATCTGTTCTACAGACATCGTCAGGTATATAATAGATGTTGTTCTTGGTTTTTCTCTTAGTAATAAGAGGACATCAAAATATATGTGTATTGTATCCCAAATGCTATTAAAAAATGAGTTATGCAGCGCCAAAACAACGCTGAGTTTGATTTTGAATTTTTTAAAATGTCTGCGTCTATACCAAATATGGTAATGAACAAATGTTTTTTTACTGGTAAATTTTTACTGTCAAAGTGGCATGAACTATATTGTTCAATAATTACAGTAATGTCGCACTTATTAATAAAAAAGTCGCACATGGATCAGATATTTAAATTACAATAAACGTGCAATCAATTTACAAATACATGAATTATTCATACAAAACTAATGCAAGGTTAATGATTTAAATGGCAAGACATCCATCTTGCAAACGATTCAAATAGTACACAAAAACATTTTAAAAAAAAATCAAACTCAGCGTTGCTTTGGCACGTTCAAAACCAATAACTCATTTTTTAATAGCATTTGGATTACAATACAATATATTTTGATGTCCTCTTATTACTAAGAGAAAAAACCAAGAACAACATGACGATGGTCTGTAGGAACAGACGAAAGCTTGTAGTAAAAATAACAACAATACGGCAGAAATTTATATAAACAAGGATCAACTCATGCATAACGGATTTAGAGGTTTTTGTGTACTATTTGAATCGTTGCAAATGATGGATCTTTGCCATTTAAATCATTTGCATTAGTTTTTGAATAATGTATATATATGTATATATGTATGTATATATATATATATATATATATATATATATATATATATATATATATATATATATATATATATATATATAAAGTACTATATAGAAAGTGCTCAATATCAGAGATAGAGCTAACATATTTGGTTGGATAGATGTGAGTTTGTGAGACATCTATCCAACTATATATATATGGGTTAGGACTTCTTTTTTTTTTTTTTTTTTTTTTTTTGTCATCCCCAACATAATTTATAAAATCGTGTATAAGTATAGTAGTACTAAAACTTTCTGGAGCCTTTCTAGGGCTTGTTTTTGTTTATTTTTTGTTATGATATAGCTATAAATTGTTAAATACATTAAAAAAATACATAAGTACCATACAATTTTTTTTTTCCTCTTATGTCTAGGTACCTCCACTTTTTTTTTTTTTTTTGAAAAACAGCATAGCATAATGAAAACGGCTACAAACTTAATGAAAATAAAGTTTTATCATCAAAATGTTTGCTATTAAGATGAGGGACCAAAGTGTTTTTTATGCTAGAAAGCACATTTGAAATTTTGGTTAAAATCCATCATTAGGGTGGCATGATAATTAACTTTTTTTGTGCTATTTTTCTGTTGAAAACAATTGATTTGGAAATTCTTGTAAAAAAAAAAAAAAATCAAATAATTCTGATTTTAATGAAATTTTTAAGGACTTATTCACAAATTTAAAAAATTACCCCCACTTAATTACATGGAATTTCCACAAAATACCTTTCTGTTTCCTGAAATTTTTTTTTTTTTTTTTTAATTATAGTAATTTATAATTGTTCAAAAATCGTGTAAAATTCTGTATTGGATGTGATATAGTAATTAGAGGAGATTGAATCCAAAATTGAAAAGTTTAATAAAAATAGTTTAACTGTTCTATTTTTAAAATAATTTTTAATTTTTTTTACTTAATTCATTCACTTTTTTTCATCTATGAAAAGCTAAACATGACATTATTATGAAAAGGTCACATGATCTAAGAGTTTTGTCCCTTTCTTTACAGAGAAATTTGAGAATTTTATAGTATTTTAATTTTTTTATTTTTGCATAAAGCATCTTCAAAAGGTAAATAAAAGTCAATAAAATAATTGCATAAAATATGTTCATTTGTAAAAATTACTAAGTAGTTAAATAGCCAAAAAATGTGTTCACTTAGATTTCAGATAATTTATGTTAATTCTGGTCATCCATAAGACCTGTCAACACCTCAAAAACTTACCAGTATTTCAATAATGATCAAAGAAAGATAGGACCCATTGTTAAGAAATGATTGTATATTACTTTTTATACTATGAGTAATTTCAAATCAGATCAATTTAACTTGAAATTTTCTAATTTAACTCAAACGTGTTATATAATAGCTGCTTTTAAGAAAATTTTAAGAAATCGAGCAATTTGGCATTCCAGTCTATATAATTTCTATCTGAAATGCACCAGGATATTTTACTTACTGGGAAATAAATTTAATCCTTTAGCTTTCAATTAAAGCTAAAAAATGAAATCTTCAAGAATGCTTTTGTTTTAAAAATTCATTTTAAACCTTAGGTATCAAAACTTATGCTGGAAAAGTGGAGGTACCTAGTGTATGGTAAATTCAAATTTTCAGTTTGGATGTAACCTTTTCCAAAAACTAAGATGAATTAATGCCTTTTTCATTACTTTCGAACAAAATTTCATCAATTTTATGACGCATGAACATAGGGTTACAAAAAGTCATAACCCTTTCATATATATATATTTTTTTTTTTCCCCACTTAATTTTAAGAGCCATCATCCCACTAACTATATTTTATGTTCTACTGTCTATGCTTACCCTTATGATGTGCTAGTTTATAAAATTTCCATTTTTTTATCAGTAATTTTGTTCCTTCATATGATATTTTAGTTTTATTTTACTTTTATTATAATATATTTCCTTTTTTTTTTTTTTTCTTTCCTTTCCTTTTCATCACAACATATTCCAATTATCTGGTGGAAATATTCACCATCTTAGGCTGAAAATATGACTAGCAGCAAATCAATGTTTACAGTCTCTCTCTAACCCCACCTCGGGGGGGGGGGGGCACACACCAGTAATACTAGATCAGCCTAGCACTCTTTTAAGTTCATTTTCATAAAAAGTTTCACTCATCAAGTGATTAGACAGAGATCTGATTTTGCTCATAATAGAACTTCCACTGAAAAATACCTTATCTACAAAAACATGCATCAGTGAGTAATTTCCATTTCTTTGTTCCTTATATTGTTGATAAAGGACACAGGCATGTCCAAAAATTCTAAAGTTAAAACCTTTCTCTCTGGACTTTATTTATTTCTGTCAAATGGTTGATATTTAATAAATTTTTATCATACTGACTATATTGGTATCTTTTCGCTTGTCCTTTATTTTATTAACCAACCTATTTATTTTATTTTATATATATATATATATAATAAATTATTGATGAAAAAATTTTACTGCTAAGTTCTAACCATGTTTCAAAATGTTTTGAAACAAAAGAACTATTAGCAAAAAAACCTATATTTTAAATCAATTAATTTAATATTAATGCTCTGTAAATTTACATTGAGCACTATTTAGTAAAAATAAAAATATCTATAAGAACACCGGATTATATATATCTTACTGTTCTTTATATATATATATATATATATATATATATATATAGGTGTGTTTTGTTTAA